TTTATAGCATCAATTAAGCTTTTGGTTTTTATGATCATACTGTGAAACAGCTGTACATCTCTCATAGTCACTCAGTGATTGCATTTATCTGTGATTACCACAGACTGACTTCTGCAGCACATATTGACAGCTGGATTCCTGAGAAGCCTGAGAAAGTGGGAAGCAGTGCCACCTACAGGTCCAATTTGATTCCTACAAGAAACCAAACACAGCCAACAGGCAGCCAAACCAAATCACTAGCTAAAAATCACTAGCCATGTAGAAACATGGCTTTCGCAAGTGGATATCGAAAGTTTAGATAGATGAACATTGCATAATGAATTCCTTGACAAATTGTGATTAGATACTTATTTGGGCAGAAGTGGCTTAGCGTATGTTCAATTATAATCATTTAATATTAGCACTATGATGTCTAAAACTCAAAAGAAGACCACCATTACATTTGAAGTTCTGTTTACTATAATCAAATGGAAGATGCCTATGTTAACACTTACAGCTTCCCACTTTATCTTCCAGTTCTTTGAGCTGGGAAGAGACATCCTTAACTTGAACTACTTAGTTGCTTGGCTCAAGCCAAGAATCTGGGGCTGGACACGGATTTTCCTTCTTTAACTATAAAGGGTAAACTCTTTTTGAGGGAGAGCCTCATTTGGCTTTATTGGAACTATAATGAGGGCATACATTTCCCTTGGAATTGGCTGATCCTACTAAATCATTTCAACACTCAACTACAGAAGGGCACCCACTGTGCTAACCATGACCAGCGAGGGCAATTCAGTTTATTACAAGACAGATGTAAGAAGCAGTGGACTCAAGTGTAATAGGAAGCCTTGCATATAAGAGGCACAGCTCCACCCAGGCTTACCATACCTGTATGTCTCTGAGACGAAAGAAGGGGAACATGGGGTCTCTAATGGACACCTATATACATTGAGGACTTGGCAAAAATTTCCCCCAAAAATGTTTATTATTGCATTCTATAACTACAGAGAGACTAGCTCTGGTTTTATTATAGGTGTATAGACTTAATAGAAAACACTGACTTATACTCGTGTAAATATGCTGAACAAAAAATACACTGTGTTGGGGATAGGGTGTGTATCCCTAAGGGACACACATATATACATTTAATACACAGAATTAGAGAATTTCCCTGAGGGATGGATAGCTTACCTTGAAACAACAGTTTCAGCCATTAGTTATGTCACTTCCTTTAAAAACATTTAGAGAAAGCAACTAAACAGCAGCAGCATTCCCTTGAGTGGAAGCCAAGATAACTAAAGTATAAAACCCCAATGCAAAGGTAAGTGAAGCTGGTAATTGGTGAATTTCAGAGTTCAACTTCTCTTCATTAGCAGTTTTTAATCATTTTGATTGGCATCTTCCCATTTCATTTTATCCATCTTTGTGATCCTTTCAAAACATGTCCAGAAGGAAAAAAATTCCAATTTATTTCACATTTAGTGCTTCTTTGAACCATATGAACTAGCACCTGGAATACAATAAAGCAGACCTTGTGCCTAACTTAAAATCCAATATTATGGTCACAATTGTTTTTCCCTTGACCTTGTATAAAGTTGGGACTTTTTTATATAGACATTTTCTAGCCTTAAATGTAAGTATAAATGTGAACTTACAGATGTGGTTATTAAAACTTGTGGAATGTACTATATATGAAATAAAGTGGGTATTTTTTCAGCCTTTTAAATTCTGTTCATAACAAATGGCTAAGAATATAATTTTGAATACATTTATTTCTTCTCTGTAATAATACTTTATATCAGGTGCTCAGAATAATTCTGTCAGAGAACAAGATGGAAAAAATTTCAACCTTTTTAATTCAGAAGGCTGTCAGGACAAACACAATCACACTGAAAGACAGAAACTGATGGAAATCTGCCTTGGCTCTTTCAAACATACAAAAATGTAGGGAATAAATACTTGTGTACTTAACACTAAGCAGTGTCAATTTTTAAAACTGTGCTATACTGTATTTGCTGTAATTTATTTTTAAGCAACTTTTCAGGTTCCAATCAAGCCGCTTCCCATGATTCTAGACCCCTTTCCCAGAGGTAGGTGCTACCCCCAACTTGGTATTACCCCTATCCATATGTTACTCACAGGCATGGATCCACAGTTGATACTTCATATTTTGCATGTTAAAAATTTTACATAAAGTTTATGAATGTTCCAAGAGTTGGACATCATGGCACATGATTGTAACCCTAGTACTCTGGGAAGCTGAGATAGATGGGTCATAAATTCAAGATCACCCTGGATAACTCAAAACATTTAGGGAGACCTTGTTTCAAAATAAAAAAAATTAAAATTAAAAGGTTGGGGATGTACCTGAGTGATCAGGCTGCAGGTTCAAACACCAGTACCATGAAAAAAGTTTCCAAGTATTCAAGATGCGTGAAACACTTCGTTAAAGAGTGGTGAAATGATGAAAATGATAACCACAGCAGTAGTTTAAGGACTGTGTCATTTTCTACTCTTCTTTCTAACCTCTTTTCCAATTTTTCTAATAGTATTACTTTCATTTCCAAGCAGTTTTTTTAAAGAAGTGGACAAAAGTGCTCATTTTAGAGTTCCTTTGACAGCTGAGAAATCAGTGAATGGGCAAATATTTCCTTGCATTTAAATTTGATTTACAATGAATTGAACTAGTAAGTTATAGATTAACCTACTGTTCCCTCTCATAAGCTTTACAGAAAAGAGATGTAGTGGAAAAACAAAAGCCAAAGGTTTAAAGTGAGGTTGGGAAGATGAACAGATGAAATTAAACATTTGTAAGAACATTAAAAGCACATTTAGAAGTTTTTTTGTATGGAAAAGTCAAGCTACAGATAACTGTGGTAATATACTGGGATTAATACTTTCAGAAGACTGCCCTCTCACTTATTACAGATTGGTCGGTTGGCTTTTGGTGATTGGGCTGGGGGACCAGTTAACTGCATCTTTAAGTGTCAGTATAGTCTAAGACACAAACACCATGCAAACCCCTAGGAGGGTGAGTGCAAGGACAGAATTTGGTTCATCACAAACCTTCTGGTATCAGTGACTAAAGCATCTATTTCCAATATTAAACTCTTGAGAGAAATAAAAAGAAGCCCCGCATCAAGGGAAAAAAAGCAAAAAGGGAGTTAATTTATTAACCTCCATTTTTCAAGGGCTAAAGAAAAGTTTATTTCAGGAACCACACACTCCCTGGCCACCTGTGACTTGGTATTTACATTTATTTTACATAAATACAAATTAAAATTATTTTGTTTTGGGCTGGTGATTTAGCGCAGTGGCATAAGTGCCTGCTTGGCAAGCAGGATGTTGTAAGTTCAATCCCTAGTGCCAAAAAACCAGTTTTGTTTTAAATAGGCCTGTAGGGGGAATTTGGTCTGTAGATCATGAACTCATGATATCCGAAATTTTTAATTGCATTTTTGAGTTATAATCCACATACCAATAAAATACACCCCTTTAATGCATGTTTCTGGTTTTTAGTATACTCACAAGTGTACAGCCATCTCATTTGATTTCCAAAATTTTCATCCCCCTAAAAAAACCTCCATATGCATTTAAAATTACTTCCTATTTCTCTTTCCTCCCACCTCAGGCAATCACTGAGCTGCTTTCAATTTCTATGGATTTGTCTACTCTGGAGATTTCATATAATATACAGCATACAATATGTGGCATAAATTGTGATATTTTGGATCTGGCTTCCTTCACTTTGCATATTTCCAAACATCACTCATGTTTAGCATATTTCAGTACTCTATTCAATTATATGGCTAGTATTCTACTACTCATATAAAGATATAAAACTTATTTACTCATTAATGGATACTTATAAATTAGTCATAAAATATGCACAAGTGAGATAATACTATCATATTTAATAAAAAAGAAAACAAGATACTTAATACTCATCAGGGAAATCCAAAATGGTCTACAGCAATTGTGCTTTAAAATAAAATACTGCCATCACCTCAACTCTTACACTGTCAGTCAGAACTAGTTATCTGAAATAGGGTAAAAATTGGTAATTACAAACAGTGGCCTAACTTTAGCTTCTCAGAAAGAATATCTTTATACTCCTCAAATTTAACGGGTCATTTTAATTGAATCTGATGACAGGGAACTCTCAGGAGATACATGTAAAGTTTTCATTTATGGTATTTAGCACATCTTATATTTAATTATAAGGTCAGCCTTAAGATATGTGCCAATAAAACATGAGCAACATAGCCATCAAACTGTTTTCTCAGTTTCTTAATTGTTTCTTACGTGAACTTATTATAATTGTAAGCACCTGCTTTGCAAGTGTGCGGTCATGAGTTCGATTCCTGGTACCAAAGAAGGTGATCGTTAAAATAATTTGTGTACATATTTACTGTGAGGTAAGCACAATGGAGGAAATAGAACCTATCCTAGCATCAGTGTCATTAGTTTCTGGGCTATCACAAATTTTTTTCTGGAGATTTCTCCAAAATAGCTAGCATTCTTCTTTCACACATGATATAATACACTCATAAATAGTCCAAAGCATTAAACTTTGGGCACAATAAAAAGAAACCCTTATGATACTATTACAGAGATTAAAGCAAAGACGCACTATTATTTTACTATTGGCTGGATAAGAAGAGACTGAGGTGTGGGTTATCAAGCCAAGAGAACAGACTGTGTAGTGGACTCCACTAACCCAGACAAAGAAGCTGAAGCACAGAATGAAACACAAGAGACAAGATCAGCCAGGCGACACTACTGATAATGACATTTGACCTTGTCAAAAGATTTTCTGGAAATACTGAGATGAACAGTTTAGTCTGTTCTAATAAAATGATTTAAATGCTCATCATTCCAGAAACTACTTTGTCAGCTGTTGGTTAATTCTTTAGAGTATGCCGGATGAAGTGCTAGCAACTGAGTTTTGTGTTTACTGAAACATCTTTGTTAATTTAACTTGATCTAAGTTCTAGTCTGTAAATGAGAAATACAAGTAAGAACGAGGGGTCAATTTATTATAAGTAAGTTTATCATTAAATATCAATGTGTACAATTTCAAACATTTATAAACCTTATAATTTATAGAAAAATTAATGTAATCTTAAAATTATCTGAACAGTGGTTTGCACAATTATTTACAGTGAACTCAACCTATATGGGTAAAAACATAACTATAGTAAAATTATCACTGCCACAAAGTGATAACTTCACAGTACCTTTCTATATTTGTCACTTAAGTGGTAGCTGTCTCAATAAAACCAGCAGATTCAATAATTTAGCAACAGTATAGTCAGAACAGTAAATATAAGCAAGCTATCATTAATTCCAAGCAAAATAAAACTTTTTATATTAACATAAGTACTTTCTCACTCAGCACTGATAGAAGAAAATAGTTAGGAAACAGTATTTTCTTATTTACTACAAAACAAATTAACTTTAACACATTAAAACAAGGATGCTCAGTTAAATTGGGTAAATTCTTATAACATACAATGCTAAGTATCTTGAGAAATTCTTGGTTTCGCTCAAAGACATTTCTAATGGTAAATCTTTGTTCAGTTGTAATATGACATAAAACAGAAATAATTCTTATCCTTTACAGAAATTATAATTTTTCATGAATAGTTGATAACATTTAGACTGAAAAGGATTCTTGACTTTATTCCTAAATTCTTCTCTACTTGGCTTTTAAACATGTTTGATATTCCCTCGGTTCCTCAAAAGAATCTTAAATATGTAAAAACTGAATGCCAAAGAAAAATAACTTTATTTGCACTGGTATTTTGTTTCAGAACAATTATTTACTGGAGTATTCCAGTTTTTCTTCTTTTTCAAGCATATGTTCAACTAGACAATTAAATAAAAAGAGTGTAAGAAATATAGTTGAAGTCATAATAAAGTACATTTTCTTTTATTGACATAGAACATACAGTACTTATTTATGTGTTGGCTCTGTTAGAAAAAATTTCTTCCTGTAAATAATATGCATAACCGTTGCCCAAAAATGTATATAGCTGTTTTCCTCCAAATATTTATATACATAGTAGTCTGCTTAAAACCAGCCCTGTTATAAACCTACTGAATACAATGTGCTCTTAATTTATAAATGGGCTACCTTCAGTGTATAAAACACATATGTGTATGTTGTACATACAAAGTAAAAAAAATATAAACAGGAGATGGAGAAAGAAAAAGAAAAGTGTTCTTCCCTGTAAGATCCAGACAAAGGTCATTATAATTAGGGAGATAATGTAAAATGCCTAAGGATTGCAGTTTTGGCAAATATTTTTCAGAAAAACATCCAAGCTATGAGAGTACTAAATGGTCATGTTAATAATTTAGTAGAAGTTTGCACTTAAACATTCAGTGAAGATGTTATGACCTTGTAGCATGTAGAAAAAAGACTGGGGGACTGGTCAAAAACAAAGTCACTCATTTTTAGCAGATTTGTATTAGCTTCTTAATCATGAATGCATAGTGCTGAGTATCAGATCCAAGTTCACTGGCATCTGAATGCATTTGATGGGAGATTTCAATGGAAGGATCTGAATCCTTTCTGAACCTAAGCGGAAATGGGGCAGTATGTTATGACAATGGAGGATGTCAGCCCCCATGGTGGCCAGCCCAATCTTTGTCAGTGTTCAAAAACAAACCAAATGTTTCCGTAGCATTCTTTCTGCTACATTTTTTTTTATTTCAAGCCACAGATCTACTGGGAGGATCATGCAGCAAGTGGCTTATACATAAAATCAGAGTCTATGAATAGTGTCATCACATTAAGAAATAGAATTGCTGGATTCTCTTGTTATGAATAAAGCTCGCATCTCGGGAATCCATGAGTTGGTATTATTTATGGGATACCTAAAACAGGGGACACAAACCATTTAAGTCAGTCAGACATGCATACAATTGATGAGTTAAAGCAACGAAGACTATTCAATCATTTATTTAACTATTAATTTCATGTGATTTAACAATACTTCCCAGTTAAAATGCAACATATTTAACTGCGCCAGTTCCAAATAATAAATACTACCATCTTGCTAACTGTTTACTAAGGCAAACAATTCTCACTCTTCCTCAGTATGTTACCAAAGAAAGAACTTAGAGACAGTGATCATATGCAGTTTAGAATCACTTGGATACTTAATGTGTCCTTTAGTTTTGAGAGATGCTCTATGTCTCATTTTTCATAGAAACTATCTCTTTTCGTGTTGTCATGGTATCCAAAAACAAACAATGAAGATAATAAAATCAATGAAAACTTTCAGCTGCAGTTTGTTCTGTTTCTTTTTCCAGATCACTATTACACAGACCAAAACATTCAGGATAATGAAAAATAATGGAATGTTTTCTAGAACAACCTATATATTTTGTTATAAATTTAAAATTACAGTTCACATGGGAACATTTAAAGTCTTCCTCCAAACAGTCTTGAGAATCAGAAAGAGACATCTGCTAATGTCATACACATTTATGTACTGAAATCCTTACCACATTACCACTAATGCTAAAATATTACTAGATACTAAATAATACTAAAGTATTACTAGAGCAGAAACAGATGATTTGAAAAAATTATCTTGAATATACTTGAATATGAAAATATAAAGCAATGTAATATAATTACTTTTAAATTCTCATGTAAGTAACTAATTTTCTTACTTATTGAGAATATTCCACTAATGAAAATAGTTTTAGATTCATATTTATATGTAGCACTATACTGATGATACTAAGCTATAGAAATGCTTGCTGGATTTCTACAATCAGATATTCTCTTCACACTAATAAAGTTTAAATTTTACATCTGAAACTAGATGTGGTGAGGCATGCCCACAATCCTAGCACTTGTGAGGCTGAGGCAGGATCCTTATGAATTTGGAGCCAACCTAGGCTACATAGTGAGTTCAAGTCCAGCTGAAAACACATATTGAAACTGTTAATTACTTTTATATTTTTTAATTTTTTAAAAATTTTTTTGTCGGTACTGGGGATCGAACTCACAACCCTGCCCTTACAAGGCGGGTGCTTAAGCCACTGAGCTAAATCCTCAGCCCTTAATTTTACATTTTAAATCTAGCTCATCATCTTATTAAATAAGAGATAATTTAACCCTTTCTCTAAATCATGAAGATTTCAAAGTGTTTTATTTTCATTAAAACATGGAATAAGAAACAAGTCATTTCTAATTTATCTAGTAATTTGAAGAAAAAACGAACTATCATCAGAAGCAGTTTCCAAAATGGCTATTATATTTAAATTAACACAGATTATGCATGTTATTTCATAACATGCTTACCCGTTTTAATTTTATAAGAATACAGTATCTGCTAGAAATTAATAAGCAAAAATAAAAATTCAGTTTTCAGTTCAACTCTCATTTAAGATACATTTTTAAGTGACAATTTAAAAACTATATATATATATATATATATATATATATATATATATATTTTAGCTTATACCCCTGGGAATACTAAATTAAGTGCTCTACTAAGCTGTATCTCCAACGTTTTTATTTTGAGACACGGTCTCACTAAATTGCCCAGGCCTGTCTCAAACTTTTGATCCTTGTAGCAGGGAGTAAAGATATGTGCCACTGTGCCCAGCTAAAAAACTTTCTTTCAAATAAAATAAAATAACTACAAATCTTCCCCAGTTTTAAAGTTTTATAGGAACCCTGGGAACATGCTCTGGCCAAAACTTTTGCCAGGATTGAAACTTGACATACTTGCTTAACAAATTTTCTCTCTCTCTCTCTCTCTCACACACACACACACACACACACACACACACACACTATATATATATATATATGCACATCTGAAAGACAAGTTAACTAATGTCAAAATTATACGTTTAACTTTCAGTCACTCTGAAAATCTTTTCATTTAAACGTTAACCTTTGTACTTTCTACTTTTGGTTACTGCTGCAGCTGTCAATAGAACATAGCTTCTCAAATAAATCATTTACTAAACATAAAAAAGCTCAAGCAAAGTCAACCTTTAATTCTAACTGCTTCAAATATACTTGATATGACTAATTATATGTTTAGTTGATTTTCCAGGCTCCTAAACATAGAATAAAAAATACTGACAACTTTCTGAGTTACACATAAATACATTAAAACTAACTAAATAAAAATTATCTAATTTAAAGAGCAACTAACCTGAGATGTACCTTGCTCCGATAAACATTACCATGCTACTCACTATAAAAAAGCCCAAAGGCAGACTACAGAAGATACTAGGGTCACCTGTGGTCATCCAAGTAGAAGGGAATTCCAGTCAAGCAAATCAAAAGAGAGACACATAATTACAATATTTATGTTAAGAATCACAACATAGCAAAACAAGTTATAAAAATAGCATATTCATAAAGGTAGCAAAGAGTTATTACTTAAAATCAAAATTATAATCAGTATCAAAGGCTTATGACAGTTAACAATCTAGACAGCATGCCACAAGTAGCCAAGAACATAGTACAAACAGACCAACATTAGCCTTCTTCTGGCAAGGCTTAGAAGGCAGCCTATGCAAGAACTTTTTGGGAGGCTGTTAACTGGGGCTTTCTAGATGCTTTCTCTCAAACAGATAAAAATGAACAATGCAGTTCACTCAAAGCTAAAATTATGGGTCCTTTGGTTGGCAGAGAAGAGTTACATTATTCTACTGAAAAATGAATTCAAACCACAATTTCTGCTAAAACATTTGTTTATTCTTATTTTCTAAACAGAATTTGGTGTGTAAAAAAATATATCTGGTAATAACACAACTGCAAAGCTGTATTAATCTAGTTACCTGACAACATGATTAATCCGACATTTTCAAATTTGATTACTCTTCAAAGCCCTTCTCTTAAAAACTATTTCTCACATATATCCTTTTATTAAATGTAAAAGTGATATGTCAAGAATATTTAATACTTGTTTTTTGGTGTGTGTGTATTTGTGTTGAGGACTAAACCAAAGACATCTGAGCTGTTCCTCCAGCCCTCAGATTACTTAATACTCTTTCAAAAAGAGAAACCTATTAAAAATAACATCAAAGAGTTAAGAAAATACAAACATTAGACAAACACTTCATTGAAATACTGTAAAATTTTCTGTGGCACATTTTGTAATATAGTATAGTGATGGTAGTTTTTTCTTTGCCTTTTTGGGAAGAAGATTTTTTTCTCCTTCATCACAAATTTCTTTCCCTTAGAAGACAAATTATTAAAGAGGGCCATAGCTGGGCATGGTTAAGAATGTCTATAATCCCAGCACTTAGGGCAATCACCATAAGTTTCAGGACAGCTTGGGATGTACAGTGAGTTCAAGACCAGCCTGAACTACATAGTGACACCCTGTCTCAAAAAGAAGAGTAAAAACAAAAAAAAAAAAGAAAGAAAAAACAGAACAAAAACCTGCCAAAAAGAGGGACATAAGCTCTTTCCCCTATTTTGTCACAGTTTATTTTTTCAAATAAAAGGTTATTTTATTTCCACTATTGTGAAGACTGTATTTTAGTCTGATTTTAAAAAAGATGAACGTCTATTCTGGCTCTCTTAGAGCGAGCAGTCAGTATGTTAAGTAATAATAACTGCTATTTCTGATGTACCTACAGTGGATTCTGATTTATGAAGAAAATCAGAAGAATATCTGTATTCACAAGTTCCCATAGATTTAGGTGGCATCTATTTAATGATGATATTTCTCTTTTCTGGCAAATATACACAGATGCCTGTGAAACTGATTTAACTACCATTCATATATATGTATACATGTATACATTTTATATATAAAAATATACATATATATGTACATATATTATACATATATAAAATGTGTATATATTATATATAATGTGCATATCATACATGCCTCTATATGTATAATATACTTGTAATTTGATAGCTGTGTAATGCATTTAAACCAATTTGACCTGTTCTCCTTTTTTTGGCTTTTTTTTTTTTTTTTTTTTTTAGTACAGGTGATCAAACTCACAACCTCACACCCAACAGGCAGGTGCTGTGCCGCTGAGCTAGATCCCCAGGCCACTGACCTATTGTTTTGGTGGGTGGGTTTTGAGTCTAGAGCCAAAACAACATTTGTGATAACCTTTCTCTAAAAAATAACAAATCCCCAATCACTTCTACAACACTTAAAACACATGCTAAACATGTTAAAATTGCTTATAATGCATTTATATATAAACAAAAAATATGGTTGTTCCAACCCTGCCAAGCTATTTTGGAAATTAAGTAAATATTATTCTCATAAATTAAACAATCTAAAAATAGGATACCAGGTAGCAATTTTTCAAGTTTATTAAAATAATATAGTTATATAGCTTATATGGGGTGGTGGCAGGATTGTGACATTAACAAAATTCATCTACTCAAAGAAATTCTGAAACCCAACTTCTCATCAACCATTACTTTAGGCAATCTAGAAAAGAAGTCAAGGTCTGTATCTGGTACATCTCACACAGCAACTGCAAGTGTGCTAAAAAAATACATATGACAGGGAAATTTAATTGTAAAGGATCTCAAAATTGTAATTTTAGCAAGAAATATATGGCTACCACCTTGGAAAGAGAAGCTGACTCTCAGAATAAAAAGGATAGTACGTTTATTTACGAGAAAATGTCAGTTTCAAGTAGAAACAGTCAGGACTGAACATACAGATCACAGTGAGGTATGGTAGTGTATTGCCTTGGAAACTTCTCCAAAAGCCACATAAATTAAAAGCGGTTCTATATTCTGAGGCTGCAAGGCAAGGTAATACTTCATTCATAAATTTTCTACTACAGTAAATGCTTTAATATATTATTGGTCATTGTTCAATTCATTATGGTCCAACTCTTACATTTAGAAAAGAATTATAATATTTATGCCAGTTTAAGACTGTTTAAATCTGGATGACTTACTCAAAACTAAATACTTTCCTAAGTGATTTGAAAAATAAAGTAAGTTTTCTATTTTCTGTCAACAGTTTAATAATTCTACTTTAGTATGTCTGGTACATTTCTTCTTCTTGAGCTTCAAAGGAATTCCTCCTATGTGCATTGCCTTAGTGCTTAGAATTAGTCTAAAAAGTAGCAAACTGTATTTTGAAAATAGTACAGCTTTCAATCAGTTCAAGCCATAAGATAGCCTCCCAAAAAGGTAAGACATAGAGAAGACAGAGAAAAAGAAATCTGCAGTTGATTTTTTTTTAATTTAGAAGAAACTAGAAATAATTTTACTTTTAGAAAATTCAGTTCCAGGAATAAACTAATAAGGAAAGGTGTGGCAGGATAGGGTGAAAGTATGTCTATTAACCTGATCATTTCCATTTTATGTTTAGAGCTTAACATGTTCTCAAAATGTTAGACACTTTGGACATATGATAACGCATTTCTTCAGAGTATTCTAGCTCAGTGTAAATGGTCAGAAAAAGTGACAATAGTAAACAATAAAAAGATTTTACCACTTTCAGGAGACTGAGTTGTAACCCAACCCATTGATTTCATCACAGCTTTCTTCCACGTAGAGTAACGAATTTCACTTTCTGGAATTTGAAGGTAGAAAAAAATACACATTATGAAAAGTAATCTGCAAAATGTTATAAGTATCATACATACTATGTATGTTACTCAGCATTCTTCCAAGGACGGCTTTATGTGGACTCATATCTGGGAACATATGGTTACTGGTGACAGGCAGCGACTGTTAGAGCCACTTGCTTGCAAACTAGAGAACAATGTGACAGGAGAAATACAGCATGGGACAGTAGGACGGAGACTGGGACACAGACTACTTGCTAGGAAGACAAGGCTGTCCCAAACCAAGTGGACACTTGTTTTACCAAGGGGGATCCCATTTGCTGTTTTCTCTTTTTAAGGGTGTGCCAGGGGTTCTAACATGAGCAGAGGGTGTGCTGTCATGTGGGAAAATTAGGAAAATTGCTGTTGGTCCAATCGAAGGATTTAGCAAATATTAATTTTGCACAAGATTGCATTCCTGTGAGATCTCCTGACATACACATTAAAGAAGAGTTTCTTCAAGGTGAAAATCCACAACAGGAGGACTAAACAAAAATGAGCACTGATGCTGTATTCGGAAGGGTCCTGAACCATGCCTGAAGTTAGAGTTCTCTAAATCCTTCCAGCCTTCCAAGCCTCAAGGATCACTCACTTTAGAAGATTTCTTATCCCGCTTCTGTCCTCTACTCCCCTTTTCCCACAGTACTTCACATATGCCTCTGGGTCAGCTACCATAGTGAACTTTTATGGTTTGGTCTACCTCCCCCTCCATATATACCAGTCTCTGGAAGGGTAAGGACCTCATCTCTTTCATCTCTGTATCCCCAATGTCAGTAACAATTCCTAGCCTCAGGGTTGGCTCTAAACAATGCCCAGCTGGAAGAATGAACTATCTGTACCTACCTGTCTGTTATTATGGAGGAGGGGGATGGGGGCTGGAGAAAGGAGAGATGGTACAATCGGTCATCCCAAAGGCTAAAGCCTTACATAATAGCAAAGATGGTCTTTCTCCTAAACAGTAATCTTAAACCCTCTGCACAAAACTTCCCTGCCTTAGGAACAGGAAAAACATTTAGGGATCACATACCTGATCTAAATAGCATTTGCTTACATATTAAAAAGTGGCTTTGTTTTTCAGAAGCAAAATTTTTTTACTTCATGTTTTATCTGGAGTTACAATTTAAAAATTCAGACAGAATATCAGATTTTGAAACAGATGTCTACATTGTAGACATGGTACACTGTCTAACTACAGAATCATTAGTACTATAATTCACTTTCTTACATATGGAAAAGAATGAATAAAATTCAGAAACACTGGCAGAGTTCTAGAAAACAGAACAAAAATACATTTGAACAGTCACTTCCCAATAGAGCATCAATCTTATGCATAGGTTCCTAAGAAGTTATAAAACCAAATTCAGTATATAAAGCCTTATTTTCCTAGTCATATTTGTTTCAATTTAAGAGCTGCATCACTATTTTAATAAAGATGCTCATCAGAGCTTCCAGCTCAGCTTAGTTTCTTAGGTCTCTGAGTGAATCTGATATTTAATGCTTATGTACTTAAAATGGTCCCACCCTTGTCAGGCTAGTCCTGATGTATTTAAAAATTACCAGTGTCTGTTGTTTATCAAATGGAATCTGGGTATTTGCATTTGGTTATCATAACTTTTAAAAGACAAAAAAAGTTACTAGTGTCTGATAGGCTAGCTAACCACCTAAAACCAGGCCATAAGCACCAAAGGTGGCAGTGCGATTCTCCTATACAGTATTAAAGTGAATGGCTTTTAAAAAGTGATTTTGAATTTTTTTTAAAATAAGGAACTAAAGTTGTCCACTCAAACTTTTCAGTGTAGCCCAATACGCTTAACAGTTGAATCTAAAACAGTACCTTCTGTTATTTTGTTTTTTAACTTATAAATCAGTAAAGAGGCAAACTCCCTCACACTAAGGTCACTGCAACAGTTATACCAAAGTTTAATTATTTAACTGTACCCTCAGCGTTGATTTGAGGTTCGAACCGTTCCATTGTGACTGCTGACAAATCTTCAGGCTCAAGGCTCCAAACGCCAACTCCTTCCGCAGCCCCTGCTGCCATGGCGGCACCCAGAGCAGTGGTTTCCGGCATGGAAGGCTTCACTGAGGGGAAAAAGCTCTATCAGCAACCTTGTAGTTCCCTTCGCTTAAAGCCAGTTCTTCCCAGAGACACTACTCATGGGGTTAAAGGAATGAAAATTTACTAACCCACTGGAATATACAGAATGTCTGCTTGTAGCTGCATCAGGATTTTGTTGCTGGTCATTCCTCCATCTACTTGCAAATGACTGAGTGGAATTCCACAGTCGCGATTCATAGCATCCAAAATCTAAAATAAATTGATGCAATTAATATAATGAAATTACTTCATAGTAGCATTTCTAAAAATGGCAATCCCCAACTCAAAAACCCTGAAGAGCTTCCCAAATTCCCACAGAATGGAACTGTAACATCTTACTATGATCTTCCAAGCCCTCCATGATCTGGATACAATCAGTGTTTATTCTCATTACAAGTTTGCTCCCCTGAATTTCAACAAGTCAAACACCTATTCTGCATCCAGGTTTCCCGTTTTCATGCCTATGTATGGGCTGTTGCTTTTGCCTAGTGTATTTGGCCTTCCCCATGCCTGGCAGTTAACTGGGACCTAGGTGATGATAGCTGAAAAGGGTGTGTCTGTGCTTATAGTTAATGTTTAAATGGGCTTCATTTTTTGTTAAGAATGTTTTTAGTATTTAATAAATTTCAGGCACTAATACATAACTTATGAGTGATGAGAGCAAATTAAATGCAAGAAAACAGACACATATTCATTACCTCTCGGGTTTGGAAACAAACGGCTTCTAGTGCAGCAAAAGCAATATGGCATTTATTGGTGAACTGTGTAAGTCCACAGATTATCCTAAAAATAGACATAAAGTTTCAAATTAGAGTAGTATCAATGAGTCATCGATCTGAAATGTCCCGGAGACAGAATGGGTGAGTCTGGTAGACAGAAATGTACAGGGAAAGAAAGCTGGACATAATTGTTAAATAAGTAGGAAGCCCTTACTCCTACACACATGGACAAGTTCATGATTTATCTGAGTAGTAAAACCAAACCAGCATTATTCATTTAGATGAAGTCCCTTTGCTGAACTGTGCAACTTGCAGATGACTTTAAAACAAATGGCAAAAACATTAACACAGGTATCGATACAGTAGGTACCACTGTCTGCTAATTTATAACTTCTTGGAGCTTAAACATTGAAATTAAGAGTCACCAAATAGAAGAGGTTTGTTCGCCACTTTTACATAATTTGAAAATAGATAAGAAACTATTAACTAGTTATTTATTAACTCAGTAAATAAATCAAGACATCCAAATATAAGACTGTTGAGCCAGGGATATAGATCAGTGGCATGGCACCTGCCTGGTAAGTGCAAGGTCCTGAGATTAATTTCCGGTACCCAAAAAAAGACTATTACCAATACCTATACACTTTGTTTTAACTGCTTCACAACAATTGTATATATTTATGGAAGACAAAGTATTTGGATGCATGTATACAATGTCTGATGATCAAATCAGGGTTTTTAGCATATACATCTTTCCAACATTTATTATTTGTATTGGACCATTTAAAACTGTATCTTCTATCTCTTATAAGCAAATAATGTGTAACAGTAAACTACAGTAATACTCACCCTCGTGCACTAGGTTCCCAATAAGGTGCATATAACCCTGAAAATGCTGGGACAAAGTAGCAGCCGTAAGAAGTACCAACTTCTTTAGCAAGTTTTTCTAACATTAAAAAAAGAAAAGAAAAACAAAAATCACACTAACATCTCACTTTATTAAATAAACGTAACTTCAAAATTAGTGCAGGGTTTTTGGTTTCCCATTCAGTGGTATGAAAGAATGTTCTTAATTATACTAGTGTGCTAGGAGCAACAAAAAACATTTCCCCTATATTAAACATCCCTGCTAAAAAATAACCCAACTTAAGAAGTCAAGGAACCGGGCATGGTGGTGCATGCCCATAATCCTAGCATTCAGGAAGCAGAAGCAGGAGAATCACTGTGATTTCGAGGCCAGCCTGGGTGACATAGTGAGTTCAAGGCCAGCCTGAACTGTAGTGAGAACTTGTTTCAAAAAATAAAACACAAAACAAAAAAAGAAGTCAAGGGATCAGATTAACTTCTTTAAGGGGTTTTAGCTTACTTCTATTATTTTTAAAGTTGCTGACTAAGAAATAAAATAGCCTCTCATGCACGCCTAATCAAAAGTGCATTTCTGATTGTGTTACCTTTGGGGAAAGTTAAACAAGTATATGAAAGAGCAGATGAGTTCAAATTAATTATCTATGGACTGAATATAGCCAGATTAATATTTAAATTATAGGTACCAAACTTGTAATGTTCATTTTAATCTAGAAGATAAAACTTCACCTCATCAGATAATGTAACTAAACTACTTTACCTGCAGATTCATGCAATCTCTGGTGTTCAATTTTACACTTGGGTGATTTTTATGTCCTACCTTATCAGCTTATTATTAACCACCAATAAGTATGTCAACTCATTATTTAATAAAACTTCACAAAGTAGTCCCTACTGTGTAAGTCAAACTTCAAATAGGGGTTTACATAATTTATGGATCACATTTGTGGTGAAGTATAAGTATTTATAAATTGCAGAGGTAAATATTAAATGTTTCATCAGATTTTCTAATCCTTTGTGAGAATATACTCACCTATTTCCTCTGAAGTCTTAATAATTCCAAGATTGTCTCTGAGCCAGCGAATAACAGCACCAGCTATAGCTACAGAACCCTAAGGAGAGGACAAAAAAGAAATCAGAGATCGAATATATGTTATCATCACAAAGGTTTGAGTGAGCATATTTTCTGTGACACTATTAGCTGGATAAAATTCAAACAATTCAATGTTGGAACTCCAATAAAAATAATAAACTAGGTCTTCTAATATAAGCATAGCTTGTCTGGTCACTAATGGAAGCTTTTCATGGGAGAGAAAAAAGTGAGTCCTTGAGTCCATCCTTGCATGTGTTTCTATAGGTGGACATCGATCTTTTGAGCAGTTTGATTCTAACACAGTTTTTTTTTATTTGTTGCTAAGCTATCAGGTACATGGTCATCTATAATACACTTGCACCTTATCCACAAAGTTAGTAGGTGAAGCCATATTAGAATTTTCTTGCAGTCTGGTTTTCATGTCTAATAGTATAGAAAATTAGCCAAAAAAATTATCAGAGCCTAACTCCTAATTATTCTTTACAATCAGTAATCAAGGTTTGGAGGGGATATAGCTATAAGCATGCAGCTATAAGCTATAAAATATACAATTCAAAATCAAATGAACCAGATATGAATATCAGTTCTAGCACTTAATTGCTATGTGATATTAAGCAAATTACATATGATTTTTGTTGTTGTTTATTATCTTGAGACAGGATCTTGCTATGTAATCCAGACAAGCCTTGAATTTGCTGTGCACATCAGGTTGATCTAGAACTTGTGATCCTCCTGAAAGTGCTGGGACTTCAGGAATGTACCCTGTCTGGTGTCTTAGGATTTACTGAACTCCATTTCTTTATCTATAAAATGATAGTGACTATAACAATACTTACCTAAACAAACTACCATGAGGCTCAATATGAAAATGCATATGAAGGTTATTACTGAATATAAATACTATATTCATTATTTTTAAGTGTTAAAAAAGTGTCAGCCAAATTCTATCAACTGGTAAATGGGTAAAAATGTGGCATAACCACCAATGGAATATTATTTGGCCCTGAGATACAACATGGATAAGCCTTGAAAACATTACACAAAGTGAACAAAGCTAAGCACAAAATACCACATAAAGTATTGTATGACTCCATTTATATGAAATGTCTTGAATAGGCAAATCCATAGAGGCAGAAGGTAGATTAGAGTTGCTTAGATCTGGAGGGAGACAGTTATGGGGTTTCTCTTTGGGGTAATGAGGATAGTCTGAATTGCTACTGATGTTTATAAAAATCCATGAATATATTAAAAACCACTGATGTGTACTTTAACAAGGTGAATGCTGTAGTATATGAATTATGTCTCAATAAAACTATTATAAAAAATCCTGAGGGAAGGAAATGTATCAGCACAGATCATTTAAGAATTCCTTTTTTTGCTCTGATTTTAATTTATACAGATAATAGTAAGGTAAATCACTCTCACCTAGTCACTCAAAACCAAATGTCAAGGAATAGTAAATGTAGGAAGTAGTCACCAGTTAACTGCATTACATATGATCATCCCTTCTTGCTGTCAGATGTTAGGATATAGACCAACTAGAGAGTGAATACACTAACACATTCCACCACTCATGGCCTCCGTAAGAAGTCACTATATATTATTGCAAAGCTGCTAAATGCTACCACTGTTTCCTTTGTACAGTGGTGTTTTTAAAAAGTATTCGAGAAGCAGATGTGACATAACTGTGCAGATACAGAAGAGACTGGGCTGGGGATGTATCTCATTGGTAGAGAATTTGCTTTGTTGTAGGACTTTGTTCCTCACTTTTTATTTTCTGTGCTGGGAGTGGAACCCGACAGAATAAACTAGAATTGAAATGTACCTCTCCTTCTCAAAATTCTTAATACACATCCTAACTTTGATATGTTTATATATTTAGGCACTTAGCGGGACCATTTAAGAGAATTAAGTAAAATTTTCCTTTAGAGAGACTCTACTCTCAAATTTCCTTTGAAGAAAACAAATAAGAGATGGTAGCTGCCAAATACTAGTAAATGTAAGGTTCTAGATCAGTGTCCAATAAAAATATAATGGGAACCACGTGTAATTTAAATTTTTACTTCCTCTAAAAAATAAAATGGGTAAAGTTGTATTTTATTTAACATAATACGTTAAATTTTTATTTTAAAATACCAGTATTAAGATTTTTTAAATGGTTTGTACTATTTTTAAAATGGTTAATACTATGTCTTTGAAATATAGTGTATATTTTACCTTTATAGCACATTTCCATGAAAACTAGCTACATTTGTGGTGCCACACGTAGCTAGAGCCTGCCATACTGGGCAGAATAGTTCTAAACCTAAATGATGAAATAAATGTCGCTTCCCTTATAGACTCAAAAGACACTTGTGCCTAAATGGCAGTTAACTAAGAAATGCACGTGTTTTCAATTATTTTAAGCAAGTTAAGTTAATCTATGATGTTTTAAAAAGCTATGATCTGGAAGTCTAGTCAGGTGGTTTTATGTCTATCAGCTAGCTATTGTGACTTTGTATTTTGGGAAAGCAAGTACTAATGTGCATTATTTCCATTGAGAAAGGTAGAGGCTAAATGCCTAGACAATTTTTTTTAAAGAGGAAGTGATATGGTTTTAGCAAAAGGAAAATGAAGAGTTTGAATGCAAGATGATATCCCAGAGACATTATTTTGTTTATAACACAAAAATACAAACACATTGAAAAGGCTTCAGAGGCAACATATCTTTAAATTTGGTCATCAGGAGGTACAGGTGTTTCACTGTCACTGAAGAAATAGATTCAATGTAAGAAAATAAAAGGGGAATAAAAACACTTATCTGAAAGAAGTGTATAATTTTATACAAGGATATAATACACTGTATGATTTAGCCTTTAAAGAAATTGGTAAAAATGAGAGAAACCTCAAAATTCACAAAAGATACATGGTCTTCTGAATTCAGAGGCAGAAGACAAAATGGAAGATGGTATGCTGCTTAGAAGCTAGACAGGAAGACTACAGAGAAGAAATCTAAAATGGCACATGGACTTCTTGTTATCAATTATCTCAAATGACAATTTAATTATCTTAAATATAAAGATCCAATACTTCAGTGCAGTTTCTACAAATATAAATCTTCCCTAGTTTCAAGTCTTGGCCCTCTAAAAAGGTGCACACAAGCCTAATAGTTATGTTCTAAGGATGATACAATGGAAGGGAGACGGTAAGAGGAAGGATACCTTAAATGGTAACAGGATAAGAGGAATAAATTATTTAAAAACTAGATATGGAGCCTGGAAAGTAAAAGGCTAAGGAATAGGCTATAGGAAGACTGGATTAAAACTAACCAAGTAGCACTAATGTAATTGTCATAGCAGGCAAATGCACTCTTCCTCCAGGTCCTTGACACAAATGCCACTGCCACAAACAACAGTAAACATGAAGGAGACTATTTCAGGGTACAGTGGAGTTGTACCTTATAAGGTAGTTGGAGTTAACACTGAGGAGTGGAAAGAAAATCATGTAAAATTGAGATTCTTCTTAAATTACTTAAAATCATTCATTAGCCATAGTAAACACAGTTTTGTGTATACTGTAGTGATATGTAGATCTATGTATATAATTTATACTTGACTTAATTTGTATATAGTAGATTTAAAATACAAAATCTAATTCTACCGCATTTTTAATATCAAAGAAAAATGGAACATAAAGATATTTTTCACTAAGTTCAATAACAAGTCAGGAAACCAAGATTAGTACATTTCTTGGTCAGAAGGTACACTTTTCAAGAAAATACATTATAAAACTCTATGAGCAATATTTATAAACTATGGTGAACACTCTTAATTAAGGTGATTCCGTAATCACCACCTCTTGGTGTTCCCTTCATCCCCTTCAGTATGGTGTGACCTGTGACTTGCTTCTAAACAGTGTACATCAAAGGTGACAGGATGGACATGCAACAAGGCGTGTGTCATTGTGTTACATAAGATCACTGCTGCTGCCTCTTCCCTTTCTAGCCATGTTGAGAAGCACCATGTAGCAAGGAACTACAGGTGGCCTCTAGGAATTGAAGGTGGTTTCCAGCTGACAGCTCGCAAGGAACTGAAGCCCTTAGTCATACAGCCTTAAGGATCTGAATCCTGCCAACAGCCTGAGTGAGCCTGGAAGCAAATGGAACGTCAGATCAGATCATAGCTTCAGCCAACACCTTGCTTGTGAGACTCTAACCAGAGTACCCGCTGAGCTGTGCCCCTGGACCCATGGGAACTAAGAGATGATAAATGATTGCAATTTTAAGCTATTTAAGTGTCTGGAAATATTGTTATATATTGCAAGAAATGACTACTGAATAGGCTTAGAACTCAGATGCAAAAATCTAGCTCAAAAGCCTAAAAAATTCTACAGTAGGAAATCCTGACACTGTAAGTATAAATCATATCAAAAAAGAGATGGGCAAAGAGGCATTTAAAGAAACCAATAGAGTAATATAGAGGAACTGTCTTTGATGCATACACTTAAAAAGAAAAAAACGGTAATAACATCATAGGGTTCAGTATTTAAATAATACTTATTACCTATTATCTACCAGCCTGTTGGGACTGGTGAACAAGACAGACAAGCATGCTGGCCTCAGGAAGCCTATATAGTCTAGCGATAGAATACAAAATACAGAAGTGTCAAATTGCATGTAGGCTCAAGTTCACAATCATATTAAACGCTATCAAAAGGATTTTTGTGTGAGTTGTGAAAAAAAAACCTTAGGAACAGAAGAGAAACAAGGAAGAGCACGGGCTTGAGAAGATAGTGTACTCTTAACAGATGAGAGTAGAACCACTTAATTACTATTTTGCTACTATCTCTTCCACCACTGAAAAACATTTTCCAACTAGAAAGGGCAGATCAAATTTAAGTAGTTATATGAGTTTAAAGTTGTAGAACAATTTTAAGAATTGCATTCCCCAATTCCTTTGTACAGATAATGAAAATGATAATTCAGAGATGTTGAAATGTCAAGATTAGAATTACCTGCTGGGAGCTCAGGAAACAAAAAAGTGATGTTCTTAATGATGGAGATGGGTTTATATTTCAAAAAATTCCACATGTTCTAAACATAGGCTAACAGATAAAATATAAAAAGAAAAAAGTAAAGGAACACATGCTGTCTTAAATACTGGACTAATGCCTCAAGCACAATGGGTTTTGATTTATTATATTTTATGTGTAGAATTGGTGGCCAGAAACTGGTTCCTCTAGAGATAAGGGGTCCACAGTGCTTTGTAAAGGGTAAGGAACAGAATCAGGCCTAATGCTTGAAATCAGGGATAAGTGGTGCTCTTCTACATGTGTAACAATTCTTGATAAATAAGCAACTGTTTTCTTGTCTGATTAAGGGCATATGGCTTAGTGGAAGATGAGACTAAAAGTGAAAATTTTAAAACTACATAAAGAAATATATAGCAAGAAATCTGCCAACAAGCTTAACATCTGGAATATAGCCCATTCCAGTACGATCAAGTCTTTAAATAACTAGATTTAAAAGTAATCAATGAGATAAATTGAAGCATGACTTTCATTAAAAGGCAACTTTCATTAGAAACACATAAACATTAAATTATAAATCAAAAGAAAAGAGAAGTAAAACAAAATTAGGTAGATCTCAAAAATAATCCAATAAAAATCCATTAAGTAAAAATATTGAATTAAATTTTTCAAAAGTATAAGAGATGGAATAAAGTCCAGACTATAAAGAAATAACTAAATTAGGGTTGTCATACTCTGCTAGTGGGGCATAAGTCTGTACATCTACTGTGAAAACCAGTTTGTGGAGTCTACTTAAAGTGAAGACACACATAATCTACAACCTAGAAATTCTACTGCTACAGAACAGTGTGCATGCATACAACAAATGATACAGACACAAATGCTTGTATTTGCACTTGTCTTAATAGCTAAATACCAAAAGTAACTCAAGTATCGACAATTGGATAAATACTAAGGTATGGCAATGAGAAAGGATGATATACCAGCTATATCTAACAACACAGATGAATCTCATAACCATAATGTTGAGTGAATGAAGCCAAAGAAAATACATAGTATATGACTATGTATTTGACTATGTATGACTATGTATGTGGCCTCTCGCATTCTATCTTATATTTTTAATATATATTGACTATTAAAATCATGCAAAACTAAACTCTGCCCATTTAAGTGTAGAATTCTAAGGAAAATAAGAAAGTTCTTGATGGTAAAAGGGGAATGCTTATTTCAGAAGAGAGGGAACAGGCTGATAAGGAGTGGCATGTAGGGAATTCTGGGTGTTGCGCACAAGTTACATGGATCTTCTCTTTCCAATAATTTATCAAGCTATACATGAATCTAATGCATTCTTCTGTGTGTGTCCTATATTTTACAATAAAAAGCAGGTTTAATGGGTTTTCTGTTTGTTTTAAAGAAATAATTTGGTAATGGAAGGTAGATACTGAGAAACTCACCAGGGATGCAGCACAGAGAAACAAAGAGATTTAAAAAATATAAAGGGCAGTTAAGAGACATGGAGGATGGGTTGAAAGGTTCCAATATTCATCCAATAGCAATTCCAGAACAGGATGGAGGTAATGGTAGAGAAGCAATATTTGAAGAGATAATTGCTGAGAATTTTCCAGATCTGAAGACTGACTTGGATCCAAGTACCTAACAGGATAAATAAAAATAAATCCAAACCCAGGCACAGCATAACAAAACTACAGAGCATCAATTATACAGAGATGTTAAAAAATCTTAAGATGATAAACCAGATTATTTACAAAGGAACCACATTTGGACAACAGAAGTCTCAGGAGCATTAAAAATCGCCAGAGAGATTGGTACAAACAATTATTAATCAAGGATTTTATAATTACTGCCAAATGAGGGCAAAACAAAAAGGCTTATTATACATCCTTACTGAAAGAACTATAAAAGGATGTCCCTCAGCAAGAAAAAAAATGTGGATGGGAATATAAAAGGTGTGGGACTAAAGAAATGATAGAGGACACAGAAATGGATACAAAAAGTCAATAAATATGATGGACTCTTAACTGCAAGGAAAATAGTACTATTATTATAAGTCGAAGGAAAAGGGGGTTATAAAACCATTTAACAATAAGAATGCTAACGAGTGGTAGGAGGTAAAGCATTTGAGTTCCTCATCATGACTGAGGAATGAAAAATACTGAACAGCTACCCGTGTAGAAAAGCAAAGAGTTAAGTAATAGCTCAAAAATATACTAAAGATATACTCAAAAGAAAAAGCAAATCAAACCAAAAAAAATTATATCATGTTGCTTTCAAACCAGTAGAGAAGGAAAGAAGCCTAAGACTGAAGATGGATTGTTATTCAGTTATTAAAGGGATAGAAAGTAAAAATGTAATACCCCAGACTTTTAAGCCTACCAGTTTATTAAACTAAAGGCATGATTATGCTTTGTAGGCATTTATGAAAAAATTAATATGGATTTAGGGCTTTACCAAGCAAGCAAGATTTCCTATCCATTTTAAATTTTTTTTAAAAAAATATTTGTTAAATGCAAAAACAAACTTAAGGAAACAGAAAAAAGGAAAAAAATCCTACATGCTACTATTAACACATATTTGTTTGTATGTGCAGTGGTGCTGCTACTGCTGCTAGGACTGGTAAGTTAGCAGATGAAAGAGAGGACGTATGCCATTTGCAGTGAAAAAGATCTCCAGACTTGGAAGGAGATGGGACCGTGGGTTGGTTTAGAAATTGAGGCTTTGATGTTCAATAATCTGGATTTGCATCCCAGATCTGCTATCCACTGGCTGTCAAGTGACTCTAATTTCGCTTCTCTAAGTTCAGACTATGTGTAAAACAAGAGGATAAGGACAGTGTAAATAAGTACGCTGTCATGTGATGTAATGTCACTCAGCTTTAAACTCTATGAATCTAAAAAAGGTAACATGAATTGAGAAAAATCTAAAGCATATCTTTAAGTCTCCAGATGAGATAAAACTAGAAGAGTAACACTGTAAAGAATGAAAACAAATTCAGACTATATCAGAATATGCTTAAATCACTATCATAAAATTAAATAGGAAGAAACAAAGACCTCAATTTAGATTAACAAAAAAATCATGTAGACAAATCCACAATGGAGCAGACCTGGCTGAACAATGACTCATTTGAGAGCGCGAGCTTGGTATTTTAGTATATGTTCTTCAGGCTAACGGAAGGAAGGGGTTATTAAACTAAATTAAGGAACTCTCAAACTAGAGTAGCACTCACGGTGAGAGGGCCACAAAGCACACTGCTGAGCACAGGTCAGATTACACATGGAATGTTGTATTCTGTTAAGGGAAACACTGGTGAATGGGAATACATCTAATAAAGGTAGCTCAGAACTACCAAGCATCTAGCAAGTATGTGAGATAGGGCATTAGGGCAGTTTTTCCTGGGGGAAGACCCAAACTGTTAACTGCTTCCTACTGTTTGCATACTCTTGATAGCTGATCTAGTTTATTCCTTAAGGTATATTATTAGGAAGCATTTTTGCGTGCTAGCTCCAAACAGAAGTTGAATGGCTGCTGGTGAAGAAAACAAAAAGTATCTTTTCCTACAAGGTAGAAAGTTAAGATTAGGTGATCCCTGTCCCTGAGGCATTTGATAAGTCTAAAGAATCTAGAGTGTAATTGCTAATTGTTTCCTGTGCACCTTACTACTACTATTATCATTATCTCTAATACTGATTAAGTGCATGTTTCACGTGCCTATTGTAGTGCTAAGCACATTCCATCAGGGTCAAGACAGAGAGGGAGAGGGCTCATAGGACTTTTAGTCCTAGAAATGTTAGGATACCATGCATACAACAAGTATTTGTAATGCATACAACAAGTATTGTAATGCATACAACAAGTGTTGTAATGCATACAACAAGTATTACACAAATGCTTTGCTCTAAACAAAAGAGACTAGATTAGGGGAAGATCATGCTGATGATGGGGGCAGGGCAGAAAATCTATTATTTTTCGTGTTCTAGGCCTAACAACTCAGAAAATGTTTCTAAACTATATATAACTAACTAGAAGCCTAAACCTTTGACCAAATTATTATCCGCCTCTCTAGCTTCTTAGTAAGTTTTCAGATCATCTGTATACTTGTATATTACAAGGCAGCCACTCCAAAACTAACTATATAGATATGCTCTTTTTTTTTTTTTTTCCGCTCTTTTTCCTTTTTATCGGTACCGGGGATCGAACTCACGACTGCCTGCTTGCAAGGCAGGCACCTATGCCGCTGAGCTAAATCTCCAGCCACCTCAGATATGCTCTTAAGCAATTTGCCTTGACAAGAAGAATGCTGTGTCTGACTTTATAAAGGTTTCTACTGTTTCTCATACAAATTTCTCACATCCTACAGATTTATGCTGAAATAATACTACCATAACTTACTAATATGTTTGAGACAAACACTTCTAATGATAAATAGGATAAACTGCTTCATTTTCTATCCAGTATCAAAGTGTTACATAAATTTCATTTTTATAGGAGAAAAGTAGAATTGTTCTGCCTTTTTCTGCCCAGTGGCTCTCTTTCTGAAACACTGGGACATTTAGTTGTGAAAACACAAAATTTGAAACTGAAAGAAATATTAGAGACCAAGTTATTCACTTCATTAAACCTTAGGGATAGAAAATATTAGATTTCAGAGTAATCAAGTAATACTCCCATGGTGACACAACTAATTGGGATAGTAACTGAGTAGATACTGTAATCAAGGTCTCTTGAGGGTTTTGACCAAGTTCAGACCCAGATTCTTTCCATTCCATCAAAGGCCAAGACAAAAATGAAAACTTTTCAGTCTAATACATTAAAACTTACCATAAAGGGTACTGCATAATGCTTCTATATTTATTAGCTCTAAAGGTCATATCATTCACTGATAGAAAAGAACTTACCTCTAATGCATAATATACTGGTTTGTCTCTGCCAAGCTTGTAAGCCACTGTGGTTAGAAGGCCATGTTCAGAAAATACACACTGTAGAAAAGAAAACACATTTCATTGTGGAGAGAATGAAAAAATAGAAAAACAAGAAAATGTGTAAAGCTAAAGTGACACAGACACAAAATCAATAAACAAATTTTAAGAACCTTACTTAAAATTATTAGTACTAAGAACATGCTTAGGCTGTATTACTTCTTCCAAATCAGATCTGCATGAAGAATGGGATGAGACCGCAATTGAGATATCCCACTAACACCAATAAAAACACACATACACTTGTACCCTTACACCGCTTTGTTTTGTTTTTTCTCTTTTTCGTTTTAAATAAAATTTAAAAAACACATACAAAACTCAAAAAACATGAAATGGTTCTTACTAGAATAACTCCAACTTAATAATTTGCATCATTTTTAAAATATTAAACACTAAGGCTTTATAAGGCTTAAAAGGCTTTCAAGGCTTTATAAAAGCTTAAAAATATGCAAAATTAACTGAATAACAAATTATAGTCAATCATTATTAAAGAATTTCATCAATCTTGTAACTTAAAAACACAAACGAACCTTATGTCCTGTATTGCACAGGAGGAAACACCCTGTTCCATACCTACAAGTGGAAAAATGAACAGTATAACAATTTTATCAAAGCAAAAGATGAAACATTAAATAATACAAACGACATAAACTGACATTTAATTTAGTATAATAAAAGTCATTACACTCATGTTAGATAACTTCTCATGAAAGAAAGTTTCAGAGTTCAGTCTAGAAGAAAATATACTGGTGCAATCTTAATGAGAAGAAACACAGCTGTAATCCTTAGTTTAGCATTTAGTCAGTCACAGCCTATGAATGTGTTATTGAATTATAATGAATTCTATGTTCAGTTACAGTTATGTTTCTACTAACTTACATAGAGTGAAGCATCATGACTAGCAGTCATTCACCAATGGAGTTGGGAAGTTTAGTTCTAGCATTAGTATTTTTATAAACTAAACAACACAACTGTCTTCAGGCAGAGAAGAAGGCTAGGCAAGGCACAAAGTATGAGAGACTGGAGCAGAAAAGCTGGAGCAAAAGTGGCACAGGAAAAAAAAAGCTATTTAAGGTCCACCTTTCCTATTCTCCCAACAGAATACAGTAGGATAATCAGAGCTGTAACAACATGGTTGGTACAGAATAAATGAATTTATTTTGTGGCAGTCTTACCAGTATATGCTTTGGGCTCTGCAAAAAGTTGCCACTTGGACGTTAATAAGTGGTTTGTTCCAGGCAGAGCAGCATTCTAAACTGATACCAGTAATGGTCACAGAGAAACAGTTTTCGATGGAGTTGGGTTAACAAGGCTACCATAGACACCATTATCTCTGCCCAAGCTTGAGATTCCCTCCTACGAACCTCACTGCTGTGCTCTGGGCAACTGCAGTGCTAACTGTGCTGCTGACATCCCAGTAGGTAGGACAAGGAACAGTGCTGAGTTCAGGGGCTAGCAGAAGGATCCTAGCAGAAGCTACTAACTGTCGGCACTAAGTTAACAGATAACATCAGCTGCATTTTTCTTCTGCAACAAAAGTGAACCAGAGGTGACTTTTTCCCCTGATAAACATTTTCTTTAAGCATCATTGTTCTGAACAAGGAGTAGCCAAGATAGTCAACCTCCTCTCACTCAGGTAAGATTCTTGGCCTGCTTGATGAAGAGGTGACACATTCAGGGATCACTAATGAATGAATACTAATGAATACTGAAGTTCAAAAAGACACATGTCAAATAGCACTAGGCACAAGTATTACATTTACAAACTAAAACACAAAAATCGTTATACCTTCTACCACCACGATGTTAACAAAGCTAATGTTTCAAGTTAATCACTCAATAAATATTCACAAAATCAAAGACAATGAACGATCATTTCATACTTTTTCAAGGAGAAATCATACTGATTTGGCACCCCAGATAGCACTATTCTGAGTCATTATGTACCAGTTTTACAGTACAAAACTGGTAAGAAGGCACAAGGCACTTAATATAAGTGAATTAGTACTGATTGGTATTAATGTAAGAAGAGAATTTTTTACTACTTTAGACCATGGCTTTCAAAGCAGTATACAGGCAACTATTTTCCTTTTAATTTATATTATTCCATCTTCCCAGTTATTAAGCATATGTGAAACTTTCACCATTTATGTGATCTACCTAACCTGCCTCAACTGTTGGCTATGTTCAAACACTGTAGACACAGGTCTGACTCTTTCATCCTCTGCAGAGGGAATAATTGTTTGCTAATGTTCATGACTAGATATGTACTAATGATGATGCATAGGGACAGGTTTAGAGACCCTCAGTAAAGTTAGGAAGAAGGTAAAAGACTTTTTACAACTAGCCAGTACCTTTGGGACAATGAGGTAACTACCTTAGGTTCTCTTTTGAAAACCGAAATTTAGTGACCAAATAATACAGGCTCATTTTAGAAAAAATGATTGGAAATTACAAGCCATGTTAAACCAGAGGTGGGCTTTCTCTGAACTGAGCTGCCTGTCATCTTCTCCCTGCTGAAGCTGGGAAACATTTAACCAAATGCTCAATCCCAATCGCTCCAACCTCTTAGGATTTCATTTTGCCCATCATTTATCTCCCATTTATTTTATAACACCCACGTGTAATCTTACACTCCAAAGAAATATTCTCTGGTCTTGTTATAATTTCAAAACAAAACCAAAATTCCCAAAATGTTGTAGGATTCTGTGAACCTCACACCCATCATTCTGCGTACATCTCTCATCGTTCTTGAATGGCTGCATCTCTGTGAAGCACATTCCATCTTGTTGTTTCTATTTTATACCTACTCACTTGAAACTTTGCTCTCATCCTGGGCACTGCTCTAAAACTTCATTCCTGGAGCTTACTAAATGAGGACTTAATCTCTATATAAAATGGTCTGTTTTCAGTTCTTAGCCTCTATAATCTCTTTATAGTGTAGTACTTGGCACTGTTATACATGCTTCCCTCTTCAGTATCTCTCCCTTGGCTTTCCACATTAATAAACACTCTGTTTTCTGTTTCTCACTTCTTTATCGTAGTATAGCCTACTTCTCCCTAAATATCTCCTTTATCTAAACACTGGTTTTCAATAATGCCATTTACTTTTATGTCTTAATTTATTTTTATTAATATATGTTTGTGATAACATAATAAATACACCCATCACAGGGAACTAGTATATATATATATATATATATATATATATATATATATATATATATGCATAGTTTCTTGATCCTTTCTACTTTGCCACTGACTTCCCTCCCTCTACTTTTATTACTTCAAAATCACATTTTTGCGTGTTTTTTGTTTTGTTTTTGAGACAGGGTCTCAATATGTAGCTCAGGCTGACCTTGAACTCTCTATGTAGTCTAGACTGGTCTCGAACTCACAGCAATCCTTCTAGCTCTGCCTCCTGTGTGCTGGGATTACAGGTGTGTGCCACCACGCCTGGCTAAAATCACATCTTTATAGGGGAATTCAAATGTCTCAGTCTCAACTTTTATACTGAACTCAACCCACGGAAACCTTTCTTACACAGGAACACTGGAATTAAATGATTCTGACACATTTAGAACAAATGGAGCACAATATATACTAGTCACTGGTTGAGCAAGTGCTATTATTTTAGCACTTGGGGCATATTGTTTTCTATTCATCAATACATGTAATTGGCAGGGACTTTTTGTGTTTAGAAGATTACATTCAAATAGTACGGTTAGTGATATAACAAAAATAAAGAACACCAAACTCACGCGAGTCAGAAAGTTTAGGGTTGAGATAGGGCTCTGCCATTGAATCAACGCCATGGCCTGAGGCAAGCAAGCACTTGACCTGTCTAAGCAGTGGTTTTTTCATTCTAAATTGGGAGTTATCTTCTTACGACTCTTAAAAATGCGGCTGAATGGATGAGTAGTAAGAAGCTTAGGAGAAAAATACTGTTTCTATTTTTTTCTTTGTTTCTTGTCAGAAGAAAAACTGCAGATAACAGACGAAAAAGCACCAAATGTGATGGTTCACACCTATAATCTCAGTTACTCATGAGGCCAAGACCAATGCTCTCAAGTTCATGGCCACCTGGCAATTTAGTGAGACTTTATTTCAAAATAAAAATATTAAAAAGGCTGAGGATGCAGCTCAGTGATCCCTGGGTTCAATCCCTAATACCAAAATTATAAATGAATATATAAATAAAAAAGGAAAAAGAACAAGGCTAAGAAACAGCCTTGAAGATCCTATAAAACGATGACTTCATCGTTATGGTGAGAAAAACTTGGGCAGAAATAACACGTTGAAAACTGTTTTACACCATGACTCTTCTTCACCTCTTCCTAGCCCTCTCTCCTGTCCCACCCATCTCTTCAAAACAGGCAATCACACGGAGCCAAAATATAATTCCTTGAGTGAAAAAGTCTATGAATCTTATAAAGTGAGGTCTTTACAAGCTGTCTCTATATTTACATATAGTATGATATATTTCATTTGAAGGACATAAAAACTGTTAAAAATGCATATATCGATAATGGCACACAATGTATTGAGATTTTGGCTTAGTCAAAATTCAAAAGCTTTCTTTCTGTCAAAGCACAAAGGGTGAGAGACAAAATACCACTGGTTTTAAGGTCTGTTTCTTAAACTTACGTGTTTTTAGCTTGTCCATCCTGGAAGCACATTTGTCCCACCAAAGCAGCAGACTGATCCCCCAAACACTGAAAATATAAATGATAACATTACTCATTTCCTTTTTATAAAGATTTTTCTTCTTTTATTTATCAAGGTATCTAATGTCCTTATATTTCCTCCATTTGGCCATTTTCCCCATTTGTATTACCCCCTATAAGATAACAGGTATAGGAACACAGCGAGAATTTCTTCAAAAGACCCTCAATTACCTTCACTATGTCACATGAGAACAAAAAGCAGTCCACTTTTCTGCTCTTTCCTTATCCTTTCTAGTTTAGGATGGGGCCAACTGACTAAGATGGAGAAAGAAAGCTACAACATGGGGTAGGGGTGGGGAAGTGGCAGGGAGACATTTGGTGATGAAACTTACCCCAGATATTGGCACACCTTCCAAGGCCCCAGCTTTCTAATAAAATTTTAAAAAAAGATTATGAACAGTCAGAAACATTGGTTCTACTAACATAACCACGAGGAATGAACACAAAGAGCAACGTGCCAGAGGACGTGGTAAGACAAGACAAAGCAAGTGTTTCAACTACATGAGTGGTACAGAGACAGATACTAGAAGTATTCCTAGAATGACAAGAACAGATGTGACGTTGGAGAATGAACATGAAACACGGGACTGGCAGTTGGGAGACAGGGACTCTACTTCTGGTTAGTTAGTGTTAGGACACAAGCAGGCTGCTGAAACCTCTCCACACCTCAACTAGTTATTTACCTGCAAAATGAAATGACTAACACACCCTTTATACAGCTTGCAAACCAGCATGGAATACATTTTGTGGAAGGCTATATTTTAGTCAAGTTGCTCTTAATTAAGAAACAAAGGTATTCAGGTACTGAATATTTGTTCATAGCAAACATCATGCTTTGAATCTAAACAAGCAACAGCTAATTTGTGTCGTGAATGATTTTTGTTTTGATCGATATGGCTAACATTTTAGGAACAAAAATAATATTTAAATAGCTGATTGTGGGATTTATAAACTTATTAAAAAAACATGCCCTAAGGCTAAGGGTGTAGCTCAATGGCAGGAATTAAGGGGATTAACGCATGATTCCCAAAATAAAGAGTGATATATCAGGGAGAACATCAAATGAAAGCTTTGGGCTCCTCTGCCTGGTGTTTGTGAGCAAGTCTCCAAGGCCCTGGGAGCTTTGGGCACCCTTGTTAAAGTGAAGGTAAGAGTAGAATCTGCATCATTTAGCTTAATGATAAGGAAGTAAGGGCATACATGTGAGGACCCTTTACAAAACAGAAAATGCCTTCCAGATACTTGGTATTACTTTATTTCTTTCATATTTACTGGTTAACTCAAGATTTGCTTTTTATTTAATATATATGACCCCATATATGGATATATAGAGAAAATCTGGAATGTAGATATTAAGTAAAGGCTGAATTACAAAAAAAAAAAAAAAAAAAACTCTTAAAAGTGAATGAATAGGAAGTTAAAAGGGCTTTTTTCTCAGTACTGGGAAATGAACCCCGGGCCTTGTACATGCTAGGCAAGCACGCTTTCATTGAACTATAAACCCAGGACTTTACATCTTGATAAATTTAAAAAGTTTGCTTATACTTTAGAAATGATCACACTCTCAGCAAGACCAACTGTGTGTAAAGTTGAAAGCACTCTTTTTCTTTATGGGAGAGGGGCCTCTGAAGGATTCCTGGAGTATCCTCTAATGAAGCATGCAGAAAAAGGGACAGTGCGTTTCCAACTAACTGGTCTGAAAAGTTGGCTAATGTATATTTTAGATAGACATTTAGGTCATTTAAAAACTCCCATCTAGTTTTCCTATTATGCTACAGGCCGAAGTACATAACTGTACTTTATAACAGGTAACATCAGAATCTTGCATTATAGAAAATTACCTAGATCTTTTATTTTAGAAACATCACTCTGTCAATATGGAATACTTAAAAAAATTAGAAAGTAAGATTTGGAGGATCACAAAAATTCTAGATATATCTCTTTAGTAAATGGATTTCTGCTTGTCTGAAAGTACATGGAAATGCACTGTATCTTTTCCAAATAAATGAGTGGTGTGGTTGACGGGCAACCTACTCACCAGGCTATGAGAGATTTTCTATAGTCAGCAAGGGGGAGAAGGGGGGACAGAAGCATAACATTTTAAATGCAAGAGAAAACTAGGCCAATTTCTTCAATCATTCTCTGAAACTATTTCTCAACAATAGTTCTTTTTCTGACCCAAGTCAATTTGTGACACCTATTAAACTGTCAAAGCACTTTTACAATAGATAAGCAGTGACTGTGCATCCTTTATGAAATTCCATGTTGTTTTATAAAGCTTTAGTACAATGAACCTGTTAAAAATTCTTGATCAAGCTTGATCTAGAGGGCTTAGTGTTTATTACTAACACTAAAAATGGATTTTCTAAAATACTTTTATGAAATGTCTACATTTTGGAAATTATTATCAAACTTATTCTTAAATTTTATCATTGATTCCAGATTTGTGGTTTCAAATCCTCCTAGAGGTTTTCATTTCTGACATTTGACCATATACTCTCAATGATGCTAAGCATACTTTTTACTGAAACTATTATTTTCCTGGTTTCAATAAAGCAGTAATAAAAATATGCATTTTGGAAATCAATCTAATTAGTCATCCCAATTCTGAAATAATTCTCTCCTTTCAGTTTCTTTGCTAAATTTTACTTAAGCTAACAATGATTTTTCCAATTAGAGATTCAACAGGGAAAAGAACACCATTAAAATGTGAACAGTCACTGATCTAAATTAAAGGTAGCTCTCACAGCTAAAAACCAATTACTTGTATTTAAATAATAAACTTGCATTCCCACACTACTGTTTCAAGTTATCCTGTGAATACTTTAAAAACAATAAAGAAAAGCCCATTCAAGTTTATAAATGTAAAATCAATTGGGTGGTAAGGAGTCTAAGGCTTTCAGTTATAATACTACTTAAATAATACTAAATTCTTATTTTATATACTACAAATATTTGCAGTAACAAAGTCACAAATCTCAAACTACAAAACACAGCACAATTAAAGTTTTTCAAAAGCACTCTTCCCCCAATGGTTTTTTTTTTTTTTTTTTTTTTTTTTTTACCATTAAGCCATAGATCTCAGAAGAACTCCGGACATTTGGGAGAATTTCCATTGGAATACCAAAAAATCTGAAAAAGAGTAAGTTTGGGTACTTTAACACTGCTCTAAATAAACACCTAGAAACATTTATATGTAATTAAAGGTAAATTTTTTGTACCAGGGTTCGAACTCATGGCCTTGCGCTTGCCAGGCAGGCACTTATGCCGCTGACATAAATCCCCAGCCCAAAGGTAAAAATAATTAGAAAATGGATAATAATAATGTAATAATTAGAAAATGGATACATTTGAGTAGAGTTAAAAAAGAGTAGTAAATATAGGAACCAGTAAAACATAGTCGATTGTTGGATAATTAACATTCTAACTTCATGGAATCAAATCAATCAAAATTTAAAAGCACACATGGAAACCAAAGTACTTTTCAGAAAAAAAAAAGATCCATGGAGAATAATCTGTCCTGTTTATTATATATGTAGTAATAGTCTCTCTTAAAAAAAAAAACCTATAAAACAAAGACTTGCATGCATAGTTGAAATATCAACAGTTAAATTTTGGTCCCCCAGTGACATCTGAAAATAGTAAGATTTAGGTTATAAATAACATACAGAGGAAGCTATACTTAGTGCAAGACACAACTCACTCGCAGAGCTCTTTATCCCATTCCAAAGAATGAATGTTGAAAAGCATTGTCCTACTTGCATTTGTTACATCCGTACAGTGAACCCCTCCATTGACTCCTCCTGTTAAACTCTAGACAAAATAAAGGAGAGGTTCAATTTGTACTTCTTTCCAACTTAATTTACTTACTATTAAGGGTCAGAAACAGTAGAGAGTACTAAAGCTGAAGAATAGAACATTTCAATTATTTGGTTTTCCAGTTTTTAGCAATTTCTAATAGAAATAAAATGTGAGCTACAAATGTAAAATTTTCTAGCAGCTATATTAAAAACACAAATAAGTGAAACTAGTTTTAATAAATGCTTTTATATCAAAATATCATTTAAAAATGTAAGCACCATACAATTATTACTGAGGCATTTTAATTTTTTTTTGTATTAAGTTTTTGAAAATCAGTGTGAAGTTAATACAGTATATCTCAATTCTGACTGATTGCAATCAAGTACTCATAGCCACATATGAGATTAGTAGTTCCTGGATTAGGACAATTCTAGTTAATCAGTGCTCAAACAAACAAAAAATCAGCTATGTTTTCATCTTGTTTTTGGAAAATTCAATCTCTTTAAATTTGGCCAGGTGAAAGAAATGCAAATGTTTGCCTCTTAAGGCTTTTAGAGAAGTCTGTGCTGTTAATGCGTGCGTGTGCGTGCGTGCGTGCGTGCGTGCGTGCGTGCGTGCGTGTGTGTGTGTGTGTGTGTGTGTGTGTGTGTGTTTTCCAACAACTGACAATGGGCTATGAAGCACATGTCCTGAAAGCAGAAAGCAGAGTTTTAAACTCCCTACATTATCAACCTACTATCACAACTGGAAACAATGCTGCCTGCCTTTGGGTGGAAGCAATAAGAGGTAAGAAATTAACTAAATTAGCCCAGCGTGGTGGCTCAGGCCTGTAATCCCAGCACTTGGAAGGCTGAGGCAGGAGGATCCTTGTAAGTTCGAGACCAGCCTGGGCTACAAAGTGAGCTCAAGGCCAGCCTGAACTGCATAGTGAGACCCTGTCTGAAAGAAAAAGACAAAAAAAGAGAAATGAACTAAGTTCAATAAATGATATGCCATGTGGCTCAGCCAAATTATATCTCTTTCAGTCTCCTGCAGCTGTCCTACATCCTGCTTGATTTGCTCAAGGCAATAGCCAGGTATTTATTTAACTATACCTGGCACACAGGAAAACTTGCCACAAACATAAAGCACAAACTTCCCTGATCAAATACAGGGAAGGGTAAAAAAATTACCTCTTTCTGGAAGTGGTTCTAGAAAAACCACTCTGTGGAAGTGAGAACAGGGGGGACAATATTCCTTTGAAGTTCTCATGAATGTTGAAAAAAATTCATCGCATACTTACTAAAGTATTTACAAATTAAATTATATGTCTGGAATTTGCATTAAAATTATCTGTGGAAATAAAGATTATGTGAGTGCAGCTGAAACAAAATTGGCCCATAGGTTGATGATCACTGCACCTGGTTCAGTGCTGGAGACGTTTATTATACTATTCCCTCTACTCTTAGAAATTCTGGAAAATGTCCATAGTAAAAATAACAGCAAGACAGAGGCAGCGACAGGCACAAAGAACTACAGACCACTTAATTTTAAGATAAGTCTTGAAAATACTTAAAAAGTTTATTTTTACTCACTCGTGTTCAGCATAGGCAAAAGGACTATTTAACAGAAATTACCACTATCATTTAGTTCCCCATTATGGATTATTATACAAGAGACAGCTATGTAATGTTTAAAGCAAATGATAAAAGTACCATAAAAGTAGCCTAGGTGTTTTATCATATTAAGTAGTCATTTCTTCTAAGAAATGGCTAGTGGAGAAGTATATGGTAAGCAAGAGAGACAAAGGCAACATCAATTGTTTATTCTAAAAGTAATACATATGAGGTATAGTTTTGATAATTATCCTACACTTTCAGTGACACAAAGTGAAAAAAAAATAAAGAGGAAGTAGGCAAAAGTGTCTCTTAAATGGAGACCGTTATATTCTGCTATCTTCTGAGAGGTTTTTCTCAACAATGTTGCTACTTAATGTTTGAATTACTGGTAGAAAATGTCAGGCAAAGAATTCTAAGCAATTTCAGAAAAAGTTCTCCATATATCCTCCAGAATTCTACATACATAATATGCAAACATACCCAAATAAGCCATGAATCAATGGTCCCAAAAAGAGCTCTATTTTCTTCAACAGCCTTTTGCACTTTTCTCACATTGTCAAGGAGCCAGCGAAGTTTCACTGCACTGAAGTAAGTGCTAAGTGGAAGGCCTGTCTTGGACTAAAACAGGAAATTCAGTCAGCAAATTAAATCTGTAACAGTTGAAAACCAAACCTCCAAACCCAAAGAACTCAAAATTGAAAAAAAAAAAAAACACTGTTTAATGGTTGTAAAGGTAATCTCATAGTATTATGAATGACACTGTATTCCTATCTCATGACACATATTCATGCATAAATATCAGAGTAATTGTTTGCAGTTCAAAGAGCATCCATATAACATGAAGGAAAATTAAATGATACAACATCTTGTGATTAAATAGTGACAATGGTGATGTTAACATTTACAAACAATTTCTACCATATGTAGCCTCAAACTCTGTAGTTTATATTTCATGAAATTGATAAGCTATTCACAAGCAAAGAGTATGTCAAATCATAAACTGATAACTGTATCACACAAACACATAAGTAACACATTAATAGTCAGTGGAGACTAAAGTAGAGCTCAAAGACATGCCAGATTAAAGCCACAGAGTTGCTCTAAGGAAGTGTATGACTAAGTGTCATCAAATACATCAAACAGAAGGAATTTGGATGGAAAAAATGCTAAAGGATAGAAACAAAACATATAGGAACTTATCAATCTTTGAGAATGGGTCAGGCCCAACTCTTTTCTGTCTGTATACTAAATAACAAATTTATGTATAAAGGATACTTAAAGCTGAGTAGTTAAGCACAATGTAGCATTGTACTCTTCTATGTAATCCTAACTACTTTTGGGAAGCCGAGGCAGGAAGATTGCACATTTGAGGACAGCCTGGACAGTTTAATGAGATGCTATCTCAAATTTTTAAACTAAACAAAAATGTCAGTGGAAGAGCACTTGCCTAGCATACATGAGGCTCTGGGTTCAAGCTCCAGCATCATAAAAACTATATATAAATAAATAAATAAATAAATAAATAAATAAAAAGAAGGCTAAGTGTTTAAAAAACACATACATGAAAATAATACAACTGCTTTTCCTTCCTCTGATACTTATTCTCATTTATCACCTAACAGCAGAAAGTGATACCTTTTTCTTTCTTGACTCACGGCTTATAAGAAAACTCAAACCACAGTATCTAATACTTAAATGCAATATGTAAATTAATAATCTCAACTAAAAGTTTTCTAGTTTTCCTAAGGGAAAAAAGAATTGATGCTCAGAAATAATGAAAGAAAATAACTTACAGAAATATTATTTGACTTGAAGGACCAAGGGTCATTCCACAGGATGTCCTGGGAAGATGCCACAATACAGTGAGGTAGTAACACAGTATCTTATGTTAAAGATACAGTTAGAAGGTGTAAAAGTTGCTTTAAGTGGCATTTGGGAGAAAAGCATGCATCTCTGAAGCAACAGACAGCTGAAGTTAAGCAGGGTGACAAAGGAACAGAACAGGAAATGGACAAAGGTTTATTCAGGACAAGCCTGAAGTTACTTCGGCAGGGGGAAGAGACAAGGAATGGTTTACTAGGTTGCTGCAATTAATGGGGTTTGAATCCTAGCTTCAAATCTAAGAATCAAAAGAAAATATCAAAAGCATCCAAAACAACATACCAAAGGCATAAAAAGGAGATAAGCAAACAACAGTATAAGGGAACTTCTTTTTGGATACCAGAAAAACCTGGCCTTGATGTTGCTAAGAAAAAGGTTTCATTGATTTCAAAAATTCTCTGTCCCTTCATTTATCTGAAGAGACTTTTATATAAAGACTGAATACTAGGTAATTTTTATTAGCTCTCATCATATGAATATATTACAAAGGATGTTCAATAAAGGGCTAAAAGATATACTTTTTCTGTTCTTGAACCCAGATGTCTAAACTCTCAAAAGCATTATTTTCAGTGGGCAACTGGAAACAGCAGGGATGGATTCTTTTGACTTATAGAAAGCACTCCTTAGAGAGTATGGTTTAAACCCCTAAGACACAGTTTAATACCCTGAGTAATACTTAAAGTATTACTACTCCAACCTACCACAGGAAGAGAAAAACAACAAGGTCAAGGCTTGATTAGACCTCAGTTGTCTGCAGGAAATATTATATGAACTGTATCAAATAACTATTCTGCCATAAATGCAAGGCCCAGGTAGTCTTTTTAGTGAAATCTGTAAAGTCCTTTTTTAAAATAAACATTCTTGTAGTATACTTTTGAAGAGATCTCTTACCTTAACAAAGTTATTATTTCCTGGAATTCTTTTACTAAGATTCTCAACGGTAGACTGGGTTCTTAGATCAAGCCACACTATAGACCAAAATATAATAATATACATGAAAAACTTCGTAAAAATAAGAACTTAATGAAATTACTGTCAAGGATAGGACACTGATTAGTTTCCATAAGCAATTAAAATGCTATAGCTTTTATAAGACAGAAATTAGAAAATTAGAAATGAATGGGGATAATGTTAGAAGAGAATAAATTTATAGGGAGAATTTAAAGCTTTTGTGCAAAATTACAGACCATGTTAGGAAATAATACAAACCTTCATGCTCTTATTTTGTTCGTTTTTTTCTAACAGGAAAAACAACTATGAATATTTGGAATATAGATTCTTTAAAGCATATTCAAGTACTGAAAGGACCTAACAGCTAGGCAGGCTGATTGGCAGTACAAATGCATAAGGCCAATGCAAACTGTGTATTTTAGAAAACTTGGCAGCAATCTGTGACAAAAGCAGAAGGCCTAACCTTATTAGTGAAGGAACAAAGTATGTATGAAATGCTTATTCATGTTAAAATCTTTGACAATGTACAAGATCTAAAATTCAGGAAATATTTTAAAAAGTCACCATTTTCTATGCTTTGTTATAGAAAAAAATCTCCATTTTAGTGGATCACCAAATTGCCCTTATTAGACAGTATTTGTTTTCCTTCATGACAGAAGGCTTGAGGAAGAGAAATTATTAAATAGTACACAAAGCAATGTTGGGAAGCAACCAATATCAATCCACTGAGCTTTATTTGTGAGATTTAATTTTTGTACTTAACTTTAACAACTTTTGATCTATGCATGGTCACTTCATATTTTTAGGACACTCGTTGTGCTCAGATGCCTCCTGAAAAAAATCAGACTCACATTCTCTTTTAAAGGGCTCCAAGGACAACAGGCCTGCCCACTACACATTTGAATGCTTACAGTTATTATCTAATTTCCTTCACTCATAACTACATTATTCTGCTCTATTCATTTAAAATTAATTCTTTCCTGTAATGAATTGTTAAAAATTCTTTCTAATTATTTAAACAATCATTTCCCTTGAGGGCCCTGCTGCTTTACTTTGACAGTGGCTATTTCCCATTAGATTTAAATCAAGTACTTCAGGAAACAACACTATTTTCTATAGGTATAAAACACAGCAAGAGAAATATACATCACAGCCAAAAAAATAAGAAGAAAAGGAGAAAACCATGAAAATATATGGCCTTTAGATGAGATCTGCATTTGCTGTCCAACATATACTCCTCTTACATCTGGAAGGAGTACTTCAAATTCTCTTTAGGAGATCAACTCTCCTTCATCTCAGCATGTGTTCTGCCCGAGATTTGACTGCCTGTCCCCAGGTTCTGTGTAGGATCTGGACTCCAACCATTGATTCAAAAGAGAATATGTGGTCAAATATGCCAAGTGAGAAAGCCTGGCAGTGTGTGACTTAGGTCTGCTTACCTCCTGAAGGGAGATCTGAATCTACCACATCAGAAACTATTGCAGAAAAGATCAATCTGAGGGAGAACCAGGTGATACCGTGTGAGTACAGAAGTCAAATAGCACCTACACTAAGCTACTCTTGGATGGCTGGTGCCACTCAATGAAAGAATTTTCTTGTTTCTTCATTAAGAGTTGAGTTTTCTAATATTTATACTGTAACTGACATACACCACTAGTGACATCATTATGGAGGTGGCACGATATCCCATGCCTAGAGAACCAAAGAATCCACTTTTTTTTTTTTTTTTTTGGTGGTACCGGGGATCGAACTCATGACCCTGGGCCTGCCAGGCAGGCACTTTTGCCACTGAGCTAAATCCCCAGCCCCGAGAATCCACTTTTGAAACAGTGGCAATACCATATGACTATGGAAAACAGTGAACCTTCCTTATAGTCAAGCAACTTTAGCAGGTGTTATTGGTTTAACAAGAACGAACTGGAAAAAGTGAAATAATTCAAACTATGAGTTTGTAAATCAATTTATTGAGTTTTGATAACCGTATACTTTACCAAGTATAATAGAATTCGAATGGTAAATATTAAAGTTCAACAGCCGGGTGTGGTGGCTCACACCTGTAATCCCAGCATTTGGGAGGCTGAGATGGGAGGATCATTGCGAGTTCAAGACCAGCCTAGGCTACAAATTGAGCTCAAGGCCAGCCTGAACTGCATAGAGAGACCCCATCTCAAAAAAGAGAAAAAAATATTAAAGTTTAGTGTACTTGGCAAGATAAATACTATTATCCTTTTTTTGAAGTCCTGCAAGGTCTTCAGTGTACGTTTTATTGGTCTTATTCTGTAGTTTTGATCAATTCTATCATATCTGATGATATAGACCACTCTAAAAATAGCAAGAGGCACAATGGTTACCACTTTTGATCACCTGGTATTCTATTTTTGCATCATGTGCTATGCCCACCCTTCTGTTCTAACTGACTCTGTTTTGCTTAGTCACATTTGGTTTTATTCTCTTCAAAAAAAGTAATAAGAATTGTGGGAGTAATAAAACCCAAAAAGTCTAAATGTTATTGTAAAAAAGAGGAAAGGAAGGTGGACTAAGGGATATAACCGCAGGTATGTTCAAGGGTGTAGGATGGAAAACCATATTACTGAGCTTTTGTTGGATCATTGAACAGAACTGTCTCCAATTTCATTGTATGAATGTCTAGTTTGTATGCTTTAATTTTGTAATTTGGACAACTGTTCCTGGGAAGATAATATGTAACCTATTAACTGGTGATTCCTTACTGTATATTTTTTTTCTTGAAATACTGTATTATTTGTACCTTTTTACTGCTTTGTTTTATGTCCTTTCTTTTTTTCTCTTTAAATAAAAAAAGATAAAATACTGATGGATGTGAGGATAATCTGGCTGCAACATCTGTCACCCCACTGATGGCCTGGGTTGATTCAGCTGAGCTGGCTGTCTAGGCACCTGTCCCCTTACTCCCTCACCTCTCCATGTACATCTCTATTGAAGCTGCATGCTTGGTTGAAGAGGACAACCACCCAATAGAGGAGAACCATTTCCTTGACCAAAGGTACACAAGTAGCTGCACTCCCCAGCGAGAACCTCCAAACAAGCTCTGAAGATAAATATAGATTTATGAACCTTGGCTTAGTTATGTGGGTTTGTTGAGTTAAAAAAGTAAAATATATATATTTTTAGCAAGGGACATGAACAAATACATTTGATAGTCACTGCTCCAGGCTTTTTGTTTAATGTCTTAAACCTAGATGAAGATGTCTTAAGGGATACACATTTACTAGGAAGCTTAAAGATGAATTACATTTCCCAAAATTCTGGAATAGTAAGTCTGGGAGACGGACTCATAAAATCAACTTTCAAATAAGCATTCCACTTTAAGAAATACAGCAGTGGTTCTTATCTAAAAATTGTATCAGCACCACCTAGAAAACTTCATAATCACATACCCAGGCCCTACCCTGTAGAATTTTGGTTACAGGTCTAAGCAAGGCCTGAGCTTCTAAACTTTTGTTAAAAGTATTTCAAGTTATCTAATTTAATATTAAAATCTGAAAGTCTCTTTTGTAAGTCTTGTTCTTTAGGATACTAGATGTGTTTCAATCCGTTATTTATTTATTTAGGTACTGTGGATAGAACTCCCAACCTAGCACTTGAGAGGCAGGCACTTATGTTGTTGAGCTATATTCCCAGCTCAATCATTCATTGAAAAAAAAAAAAAAAACCCTAAAAACTGAAGATCAAGAGGCTTCCTGAGTCCTTGTGGCTCTGTGAGTCTATTACTTTTCTCCTCATTTGAAACATCTAACAACAGTGGCATCCAGAGAAATCTTCTCCACAAAGAATCAAAACACTGGATGTGAAATTATGAAACCATAGTTTTATATTGGCTTTGCCATCAAAGAGCTTTATGACTTATGCAAGTCATTTTACCCTTCTTGGCTCTTATATTTTCCTAAATATGAAAATAAGGACCTTGGATTAGATGATCTCCAAATCCCTTCTCCTCCAGTATCCCATGATCACAAAAGGCTGTTAAAATATTTATCTTGTTTTCTTAGCTAAAGACTTTAAGTCAATTAGAATACACAGAATTAGTAAAAACTACTAAAGATAAAAATGTCAGTGGTTGACAGACTACAAAGCAATTCACAAATACTCAAAATTAATGAATTAAGAACAAAAAAATTAGAAAACTCATTAAAGAAACTAAGATAACACAATTAGATTTGCAGAATAAGAGACCAAAAGCCAAAGAGAAGAAAGACCCCAAGCTGGAAGACTAAGCCCCTTGAATAGGTAATTTCTTAGAACAATCAAAAGAAGTGACAGATTTAGATCTGGTAGCAGCAGTCAATTTCCCCCAACATGTCTGGGTTGGAAGGTTGGGAAGTGAGCAGTAGCCAGGACACCAATACCTGAGGAAGTACCAGCAGCTGGAACTGAGGAGCCAGAGGAAACAACGGCAACTGGAACTGAAGTGCCAGGAGAAACTGGAGCAGCTGGAGCATTAGGAGAAATAATGGCATTTCATGCTAGAGATGGCCAGGTTCAAGGTCTATGCACTCTTGCTGACCACTTAGGTATTGGTAGCTCACTTGAGCAAGTTTATCAGAACGAACATTTTCTACACCATGGGAGTGTAGGAAAAGAAGAGACAAGGAATAGTAAGGAAACACAGGAGGTCCAGTCTGAATGTCTGCTTCAATAATATTTCCATTTGATGAAGAACAGGCAAACATTTTCTTCTTCAGGATAGCTCTTTTCCTATCTGGCAACATACATGCATTCTAGTTAGAAAAGTGGCTCAGTTACTTACTGAGCACTGAATTGAAATGATGCATGATATATACATTTATTGAGGGAGCACATCCCTGGGGGATGTGAGACAGGAATGCTAAACAGCATGCCACCATGTTTGTTGTAGTCATCATCTGCTGTAAGATATGAAAGGGCTGCTTTGAGAAATCATGACCCCAGGCAACACTTTCCTAGTAGGATGGTTGGAGGGAAAGGCCCCCTCCATAGAAGTGATCAGCAATTACTAACTTCCAAAAGGATTAGGGGAAAACTTTAAAAGGAAAATAGATGCTATGGAGTCCAGGACACTATACAGCCTGTTTCTAGAAGGTATATCCATCATCTGGATCAAGTAAATGGAATGAAGTGGCCTAGACAATCAAATGAATAGGCTAAAATTTTGTGGATGACCAGAAACCCATTTGTATTAAAGTCACATCTGTTATATATCTGATTGACTCAGTCTGTTCTGGAAAAAGAAGTTTTAAGAATGAACAGAAATGTAGTTGCCTCATTCCCCACCGATTGAAGTTAGTTTAATGATGTACTAATAGTCCAGAAGGCGGCATTATTTTCAGACTATTTAGAATAATAAACATCCATATATTCATTATGTATCACAAACATGTACTAATAAAAATAATAAAGTAAAAAGGCTAATAAATCTACAAATTTGCATGATTTTGAAGTTATAACAAGGATAAAGCATCTAAGAAACAAAAGAAAAATTAAAAGCATACACACAGACACACACAATCCACTAGAGAGCATCTAAATTATTTCCAGTTTTGGCTAGAAACAAAGGCAAACAGTAAATCTCCTCTGAGATTTAATAAGTCCAGAGGAAGCTGGGGCTCCAGGTTATGGAATGAATATATCCTAAGTAAGCAGTACTGACAGTTACAGTGTTTTTAGGTTGTTTTCCTCAATAATGTAATAACAAAAACATATGTAACTACTACATCTTACCATTCACCAAAGTTAAGCTATTAATTAAACTGAGTAAGAAGTCATTTACAATGGAATAGAGATTATATTAATGATTGCCCCTCATGTGATGACATTTTCAGAAACAGGTGCCCCTCCCTCTAAAAAATGGTGCGGGGGAAGCAGAAGAAAGTTAAAACTTTAATATGGCCACTTTGAAAACCAATACAGAGTTTTTGAAAAAACCTGAAAATAGAACTACTGTTTGATCCAGCTATACTATTTCTTGATATATGCTAAAAGGAATTAAAGTCCCCATACCATAGGGATACCTGAATACCCATTTTTTATGACAGAAAAAGTTACGTAACAATGGCCAAGATATAGAACCAGTCTAGGTGAATGGATAATGAAAATGTGGTATATTTACAAAATGGAGTATTAGTCAACAATACAAAAAAATATCCTTTGCAGAAAAATGGATGTATCTGGCCATCCACTGAGTAAAATAAGCCAGACTCAGAAAGACAAATATCACATAACCTCTCTAATCTGTGGTATCTTAAAAAGATGATGAATAGATGAAAAACTATCACTAGATAAGAGAAAGGAAGAAGCAGGAGAGACGATGTAACAGCGGACAAGAATACAATCAAAATACTTTATACACACTTAAAATTTCCCCCCAAATGTGAAACCCGTGGGAAGGGTGAAGAGTTATGATAGAGAAAAAGGATTAACATGTATTTTATGAATATGTACAAATTTGCCAAAATAAAATAAAACTCATTAACTTATATAATCAATATATACTACTAAAAAGTAGAATAAAATGCATGGTAAAATATTTAAAAACAAAACCCCAAAGGATCCTGACCATAATTTTCAGCCCCAGAAAAAAGTGTAATGTGTTAAGCGAAAACATCTTGATGACAGAAACTGAGGACTGGGAGAATAAACCTAGAAAAATATTTGAGGTTTCAAAGCTGAAATTTAAATCAGTTTCTTTTTATTTAAACTACCTGGTGTTGAAGAAATCAATCACTGAAAAATACAGCAGTTATTTTTTTACTCAGAATTCAAGTAGCTGTAAGTCATTCAAAGAACTGTGTAATAAAAGACTTGAATTTTTCCTGTATTAGATGTGTTTCTTGTATACAGCTTACAGTTGGATTTGTTTTTGAACCAACCTACTAATCTGTGTCTTCTGATTGGTGAACTGAGTCCATTTACATTAATAGTTATAATTGATGGATATTGACATTCCTGTCATTTTATTATTTACTGGTATTTGTTTTGCTTTATTTGCCTTCTACTTAATTGCCACACCTACCTGATACATTCATTCAACTGGACCTTTTGACATTGCTAGCTTCATTGTCTCTGAATTTTGTTTTATTTTTTCATAAAGCAGGAAGTGTTTATATTTTCTTAATATCTTTTTGTATTAAAATAAGACTTGGAAAATCAAAACTAAAGTTTGATAAAGCTAATTTCATGAAAGTAAAAAAAAATTGCACTCCAAAGGAACAATAAAATACATGCATCATAATTAAGGCCAAATGTGTTAGTGGTTTAAGTGGCTGGCTATCTATGGCTTCTTTTGCTCATTCTTTGAAACTCAATTCAATTCTAAAAAATTTGAGTTCAATGTTCCTTCAGACCTCTTAACTTTTTAAGACAGGTTAATCATTAGTTTCCATTAACCAGTATGTTAGAGGGGAAAAAAGCAGGGACAAGAATGACCAATGTTAAAGCTTTAACATTCTCTATAAAGAGATTTATGTGAGGAACCAGGTACAGTGATATATGGCTGTAATCTCAGCACTCAAGAGGCTGAGGCAGGAGGATGCCATGAGTTCCAGGCCTCCCTGGGCTACATACTGCGTTAAAGGACTGCCTAAACTACATACAGAGTGAGTTCCTGTCTCAAAAAAATTAACCAAAACCAAACCCAAAACATAACAAAAAAGTTATGGACCAGGGGATATAGCTCAGTGGCACAGCATCTGCCTGGCAAGCGCGAGGCCCTGAAATTGATTCTGGGAAACTAAAAAAGAGTGATGTGTTACAGGGAACCTGAAATCCAACATCTTGGAAAAACTATTTGCAAAACCATTTGAAAACAGTGCAAGGGACACAGATTCTGAGTTTGACTTAAGAAGGTGGAGGAGGAAGAGGAAGAGGAGGAAGAGGGAGGAGAAGGAGAAAAAAAGATGAGCTGAGAGTGGTGGCACACACCCACAATCCCAGCAGTCTGGAAGCTAAAGCAGGAGGCTGAGGAAGGAGTATTGCCATAAGTTCAAGGCCAACCTATACTATATAGTGAGTACAAGTCCAGTCTGACCATGCATACAGCTCTAATGCAGTGAAGAGCGACCCAACCTAGTCAATAAGAGGAAAATACTTGGGCAACCCTAGTTGGGGCAAAGCATTTTGCTGGTAGCCTCAATACAAGGAATGTATGTGAATATCACTGATTTAAGCCTTCCTTCACCCTTCACTTGAAATTTGTGGGTAGTTTTGTGCTTCTTTATTAGTATAGTATACAGTTTAAATTTCAAGCCCTTTTGAATAATACTTAAAAGACATCAGAGTATAAAGAACACTAATAAAAGCTGGATTCAGAAGACAAAGGCTTAATATAGAACTGGGTGGAGGGAGCACTTTGCAAAACTATTTGTAAAGATAATACTAACATGTATCTCATCCCAGGAACAAGAAAGTAACTAACAAAAATTTTGGACCAAAGAAGTGGGGTTTCTGCTGTCACTGTATCTGACCATGGGGCTTAAGAAGTTGGAACTGGTTTGCAGGAGCAGTTTGGAAATCTTTGGAGATGCTGGTTAGAGAAAGCCCTAGAATGCTATAAGCTGAATTTGATGGGACACTCTACTAAGCATTTAGAAGACCAGAATGCTGATGGAAATGCATTTAGTAAAAGCCAGGCTCAGATGGTTGATATTCACGACTCCACTAGCAGTTGGCCTAAGGGCTATGTATGCTCCATTTTGGGAGAAAATTTGTCTACATTTTGCCCATGTCCTGAGATATTATGGGAGAGTCAGACTAGTGACAGCAGATTAATTAATCTGGTGGAGAAAATTTCAAGGCATTCCAACCTTCAGACTGTGGCATGGTATTTCTCAGTGCTGTCAAGCCAGATTTATAGTAAGAAATCAGGAGCAAAATATCCATTTGAAAAGTTTTCAGTTTCACCAGAAAGGAAGTACCTGTAAAGTTACGAACCCAGAGAGCTTGGTGGTTGAAAAGATTAGCATTAAAAAGTAGCCAACAGTTTGTATCAGGACAACAGGAAATATGGCTTAAAGGCATTTCAAGAATCAGGGGGACACTACCCTTTGTGGGCTCAAAGGTGAAAACTGTAAGCTTTCATTTGAAGAGTGCCTCAGGGTGCCCTGGTTATTCAAGACCCCACAGAGAAATGTTTTCCTGAGTTCTGCCATCCAGGTACTCATAGCCTGCTGCATCCCTGGTATCTGTCTCTGTTCAAGCTGGCAGCAGACACTGGCATGATCTACATGGAACTGGATTTGCAGACATGTGGAATCCAACAGTCATAGTGTCACTGGAGCCTTCCACTCAGATTTCAGAAGAAGGCCTGAAAGGCCAGGAAGTGTGTCCCTGTCTTGTTTTGTTTTATGTGTGTGTTAATTTTTGATAGAAAATTAGACACTGTATATGAAAAAACTATAGAGACATCACGACACTCTTGATGATATTGTTTTCCTCCAAAAAGGATTTATTTCCATTT